TCACTCACCCCTTTAACATCTGCCCTCTTGAAAGATACCAGCTTCATGAGAACAGGGTGCATTGGGAATCCCCCAGTTTTGACACCATTCATTTTTGTTCAGGATTCTTTCTCTGAGCCAGTGCCACTCAGCCCCTGATTGATTTCTCTGCACAACACACGTGAACCACTTCTTTTTAAAATGTCATTCCATTTGTACATTTCTGAAGTCATTTCCACTGGGATCCGTCTGACAAGGATTTGTTTCATAGTACAGCTTTCATATTTAAAAAAATTTTTTTTTATTGATCATGATTTTTGCCACTGGGAATTTTTAACAGCTTTTTTTAATCTACTGAGTTTAATTTCCTCAAGTCAAATATGTAGATGGAAGTGTCACAAAACAAATGTGAGCCGTGGGTTATTTTAGACACGCCTGGCGCAGTTTTGCTGTATGTTGCCTTCGTTTGCATGAGTTTCTGTACTCCTATAGGGAAGTCGTAAATGGACTTGCTTTCATTGTCCTGTATCACAATGAAACGAGCCTCCTGATTCAGAGGACTCAGCGGAGGCCTTAGGGTTGGTGTGACACAGCAGCAGGCTGGAAGTGCCCATGGGTAGTAGCAGGGAGCAGGTGTTACAGTGGATGCCAGCGTGATCCTGGAATCTGTTGGTGCCAACACCACCACCCCAGCACTTCTTACTCAGGACACAGGGACAAGGCAACCTTATTCCTCCTCCCGAGACCAGAGAGGTCCCAGAGAACAAACCTGAAGCTCACACCTCGCAGCCCCATGTAGAGCCACAGCCTCCTCAAGTCTAAGCTGTGCTCGCTTTCTTACTTTTCAATAAATCCTGTATTCACATGTGCACCTGTGCCTCTGCTTGGAATTCTGCTCCATGGGGCAGGAACTTGGAATAGAACTGTTGGGATGCAGGTCCCCGTAACACTACCACTCGTGTGCAGAGTCTGAAACCTGGCAGGGGTGCTCAGCAGCCTCAGCTTTCACAAGCTCCCCAGGTGACTCTGAGGACCACAGCCTGATCCTCAAGGGGGGCGTGAAAAGGAACAGGAGGAAAATGGCCAGCAAGATTTCACCTCAGCCAACATTGAAGCCCAAACTATCCTTTGAGATCAATGTGCTAGGAGGCTCGTTCCCAGATTCTCAGTATAGCTGGATTTCTTAAGAAACTTGAGTTCATTTGCAAAGCAATGAATGCATGAGTTTGTTGACCTGAATTGCAGCAGGTCAATCTTCATCTCTTCAGTATAATTTCCAAGTAATATTCCCCCAAGAAATTGGTTAAAAGTTCATATTTAATTTCCTGGACCACCCTCAAGAAAATTGCCGACAAAAATTGTCTAGATTAGTCTTGTTCACAACCTCGTCAATTTTTCTGTGGGACTTTGACCACATCCTATGATAAGGACCATCTTCACAGGCAACAAGCAAATTAAATCGAAGGCCCTTGGGTCAATGCTGTTAAAAAATGTTCCACTTGTGGGTGATGGTGGTATAGCACACTAATCCTCCAACTAAAGCGCTGGTATCCCATATGGGCATGGGTTCATGTCCCAGCTGCTCTACTTCCAATCCAGCTCCACAGTTATGGCCTGGGAAAGTAGCAGAGGATGGGCCATGACCATGGGAGATCTGGAAGAAGTTCCTAGCTCCTGGCTTTGGATTGGCAGCCATTTGGGAAATGAATTGGCGGGTGGAAGATCTCTTTCTCTCTCTGTGTGTCACTCATTCTCTATAGATCAAGGATGGTTCAAAGGCTTGGGACCCTGCACCTATGTGGAAGACCGGAAAAAAGCTCCTGGCTCCTGGCTTCGGATTGGCTCAGCTCTGGCCACTGTGGCCACTTGGGGAGTAAACCAGCAGACAGATCTTTCTCTCTGTATCTCCTTCTCTCTGTATATCTGCCTTTCCAATAAAATAAATCTTAAAAAAAAAAAAAAAACCAAAAATCCCATCACATTAAGACAAGCTACAGGGCCAACACAGCATGAGAAGTCAGGAGGGCTTTGATGGGTAAGACTGGGGTAGCCACGTCCCAGTACATGGGACCCTGAGTGGGACCCGCCTGTGCTCTGGGCTCAGTCAAGTCCTCACGTGAAGGAGAAATAAGAGCAAAATGGCTGTTGTCTCTGGACGCTACTAAGATCTGGGATGCTTTAAACACAGCGCTGCATAGCCAAGACACCGGCCTTGACCTCCCTCGATGTGTGTGTGGTACTGGATTCCCACCAACCTGCAACAGCCATCTATATGAAGGCATGATCGACGTAGGCATGTAAGAGAGTTGGGGGTCAAATATTCTGTCCAAATACTGGCCTTCACAGCAAGCTACAAATCACCAAGAAAAACCATTTCACACATAATTAATTCCCCAAGCGCCTCCATGGAACACTTTCTCTTGGGAGGGTTCTGTGGATTGGAATTGTCTAGAATCTGGAGTGAGCATGCTATGCCTTGGGTTCCTCTGGGAGCAGGTGAAAGGTGTGGTTCTTACAGTCCTTTACCAGGTGGGTGGCAGGGAGAGGGAAGGGTCTGGCTATTATTTGCTGCTCACACAATGCCCTACTTAAATTGTGCTCATAAATGGTCATCAGCTACTCACTAGGGCCATGCTGGGCCAGGGTACACTTTGAACACTTTGTGCAAGTTGGGGAAGATAAGGCAAGGACAGGAAGCGGGTCCTATTATTCCCCAAGCCTTTGAAGGTGGACAGAGTCAAATGCCCTTTCCTCTTCCACCCCCCATTCCTCCCCCCCTTTTTTTTAAGATTCCATGAAAGCAAAGCGTTCTCTTGATATTTCTGAAGGGGGGACTCACATGAACTCACAGCCTGCCTGCCAAGGGCAGTGCCATGTCGGATGTCTTCAAGTACTTCCAGTGTGCTGGCCTGGGCAGCCTCACTTTCACTGGGTCATTCCGTCCTCACACCAAGTCTCCAAGTTGGGTGCTACTGTCAAGCTGTAGAGGGTGGTCCCAGATACTTGGCAGAGTCCCTTGTGACACTGGGGCCACAGGCCACCCCAGTAAGCACCCAGAGTTCAAAGTCACTTAACCTGGAAAAGCCTCTTACCTTGACTGAGGAAATACTACAGTTTCAAGTCTTCTTCTGACAGCCTCTGGCTGTCCTGCCCGCTCAGCCTTGGCAAGCATTGGGTGAGGGTCACCCTACCTGAAAAGGGACCCTGGTACAGGTTATCCTCTGCAGACTACCGGTCGTGTTGAGGCTGTTGCCAGAACCTGCTTGGTCTCCTTGTAGTGTAGTCAGCAAGTCCAGCTCTGCCCATTCTCTCCAGTGAATTCTGCTAGTTGTTGCTTCTTGAGATACAACAGGAGGACACTGCCCGAGGTGGGTCCATGACCACCACTTAGCTAATTTGGAGGCTCTTAAGCATCCATCGAGCCCCAGATTTGGACTACAAACAGTTCCTTGCTTCCTAATAAAACAGCCTGCGTTTTAGAAGTAGCGCTCAAGAGGCAACAGAATATATCTCGGCCTGAAGAGACAGAGTCCCCGGGAGGGTGGCCAGTGAGCCTAGCTACATACCAGCTGCTGTCGCTGGAAGGGCTCTGACATACCAGCAAAGGCACCAAAGGGAGAGAAGGAACATCGAGATGAATGACACGGCCAACCCTTTCCCATCTACGTAGAAAACTAAGCATTATGCAGATTTTATTGGGACTTCTTTTGAAACACACAACCTACTTTTGTTTGTGCTGCTGAGAACACAGTACATTCTCAAGATGCTTCGCTAGGAAACTTGTGTTTTAATTATTATTATTATTTATTGAAAAGGCAAGGAGGTAAGACCATCCACCTGCTGGCTCACTTCCAAATAGGTGCCCAGGCAGGCTGGGCCCGGCCGAAGCCAGGAGCCTGGAATCCAAATCTGCTTCTTCCACGTGGGTGGCAGGGAGCCCAGCTCTTGGGCCGTCACCTGCCCGCTCTCAGGGTGTGCAAGAGCAGCCAGCTGCACCGAAAGCAGAACCACCAGGACTTCACCAGACACTCAGAATCCCAAGTGGTGACTTTCCCAGTACACCAAAGACTGACTTTGGAACCTTTTAATTTCTTCTTCTTTTTTTTTAAAGAATTATTTATCTTCTTTTCCCAGTCCCATAGGCTTCGGCAGCTGAGGGTTACTGTGTAGACTCGGCCAAGTCCAAGAACCCTATCACACACAGCCAGTCCTGCAAGTGGCACAGGAATGGCATCAGGAAGCCCCACTCACAGACACGAGCCTCTGAAAGGGGTGGACCTGAGAAGGGCCTGGAGGAGACGAAGGCCAACAAAGCCGAGGCCATGAGTGCCCAGGCTGAGGTCATCAAGGCCATGGTCAGACCCAAGGAAGTGAAACCCATTGTCCCCAAGGGAGTCAGCCGCAAACTTGACCAACTCACCTACACCACCCCAAGCCCAGGAAGCATGCTCATGCCCGCATGGCCAATGGTGTCAGGCTGGCCTGGGCAAAGGCCAAGACCGAACCTCAGATCAAGGCCAAAGCCCAGACCGAGCTCAAAGCCCCGGTGCAGCCTGCACCTGCAGAACCTGCTCCAGCTCAGCCTGCTCCCAAAGGTGCCCAGCCTCCCACGAAGGCTCAGGAGTGACAGCCTCTGCCAGCCACTGCAGGGACAGAAGAACAGATGTGACCACGGGCTGTTGTCCTCTTGTGGTGTTTGTACAAATAAATCCCAGAGTTTAAAAAAATTATTATTTTTATTTGAATGGCAGATTTACAGAGAGGAGGATAGACAGACAGAAGGTTTTTCCATCAGCCAGTTCGTCACTCCCCAAATGGCTGCAGCCACCAGAGCTGAGCTGATCTGAAGCCAGGAGTTAAAAGCTTCTCCTGGTCTCCTCACATGCGTGCAGGGGCCCAAGGCCTTGGCGCATCCTCTGCTGCTTTTCCAGGCCATAAGCAGGGAGCAGCCGTACAGGAATGCTGATGCCACAGGGCAGAGGATTAGCCTGTTGAGCCATAGCACTGGCTCCTAAGAACCTCTATTTTATTTTTGTATTTGAATCAACTTGTCCCACTGAATGATAAATAAACATTTTAAATAAATATGCAACCACTTAATGGTGCTACTGTTTTGCAGAGCAGTGATGGCTGAGCTGGGAAACACGGTGGGCTCTTTACCAAAGCTGGCAGAGAACGGCTCTGGCTGGCTGCAGCTCAGCAAGGGCATGATCTGCCTGCAAGCTACCAACCCAGCAACTTAGAAATCAGTTGGAGGTGACAACGAGAGCGACATTCATTCCCAGTAGTGCTTCCTGGGTGGTGTCCTGGTGGGAGACGGACTGCAGACTCCGATACGACCTGTTTGGGACACAGGTGGCATTGGCCAAACTCCTTTCTTTACTTGAACCTAGAGCTTCCCAAAGAGCAAACAGCACAGTGCCCCGGCTTAGGGAGCTCGGGAGGGCACTAGGTTGGGGGATGGGGAGGGCCTAGGCACCAGTACAGTGTCCAAAGAGGCACGACGTGGGCTTCTCCAGGGGAACAGGTGCTCTAGACGCGAGGTGTCCAAGACGAGGGCTACTCGGCCAGCAGGGACCGGCTGAGTGGCTGGAAGGCCCGATGGCCGACTGTCCTCTTGGTTAATAATGGCACGTGCGACTTCCTGTCTGTGGGAGTGTGGCAGAGCAGAGCATCCAGGCTGTGAGTGGTGACCTGGCCATTCACCTGCAGTGTCCCATAGACTTGTTCAAATCTGGCCGAAAGGGCAGGCACATCTTTCACTCTTTTTCTCACTTCGGCCAGCTGGAAGAAAGCAGGGGGTAGGGTGGTCACTGATTCTGTGCAAGGGCTGTCCCCCTGTTGTGTCCCTGGGGAAGCAGAGACAACGTGTGTAAAAATGTATGGTGCGGACTTGCAGCAGGGAAAACTGGGTTCCTGTGGCACAAACCGGGGTGACTGATACCCAAAAGCGAGGACTGGCATGGGCCAGTCACACCTGGGATCTTCTCTAAGGGTTTCAGATGGCACCGGTGGACAGTGACACACACGGAGAGCCAAATGCCACCAGATACCATGGAAGAGTGACAAGCAGGAGGTAGGGCCAAACTCTCCGGGGTTCTGCAGCCAGCGACCAAGGAGACTGCTGGGAATGATCTACAGGATCGGATGGAGGCTTAGGGGCTCACACAGAGAATGAGTCAGGGTCCAGGACAGTGGAGACCAGGCTGTGGGAGGAAGGACAGGGGCTGAGACCAGGAAATGGTGCAGAATGCGCAAGCAGAGTGCTCTGCGGGGGATGAACCAAGAGGCTGGGCTGCTGCAGGCGTAGAGGCAGCAGAGTGGACACTGGCGACTTCAACGTGGGTGTTGAGTGTGCCAAGAGGGACAGAAGGGGACGGCCTGGGCTGCAGGGGAAGACCCATCGCTACATTTCCGATTAGCAACATCGAAGTGGGCGTTCTGAGAAGGCTGTGGACATAGCACGATATTTCCAGAGGTTCACGGAAGATGAGACTTAAAAAAATAGGCTTATGTTGGCACAAAAATATTCTTAAATCCATTTTTCTCATACCTACACATTCTGTTCCCATGAACTATTTTAAAGACTTCCTCGTATACACAGGTTATTAAAAAATATATATATATATATATGCACCAAAATAAACTCTCTGAAATCCATTTCCATGTACTTTTAGAAGAGCTCTGATATGAGCCTGGGCCGTGCAGGAGAGGCCTGATGAGAGCTATAAATAGTAGAGTCATGAGTATATGCAGGGTGCTTCATTCTACCAAAATAGGTGTGCTTGAAATTAGAGTTGGAAGCTATTTCATGAAAAAAAAAAAATTTCACTTAGTTCGACAAGCCCTAAATTTAAATAAGAGAATCAAGCCTCCTTCACTAACCCTCTGATCATCACCTAAATATAGTGTAACATTACCTGCACCTTCCTTTCAAACGAGAGCTCCCACGTGAACCCCAGGACAAGTGCTGTAAAAGCACCTCCTAGCATTCCTTAAAAGAACACTTTGCCCTCATGTTCCAGGTGGAGTGGAATGTGCGGCGTGCGGCTTCCAAAAGCAGCGAAGCGAACACGCCGTGCTCCCGTGTGCGCCGAGTCGGCCCTAACACTACCCAGCTGAGCAGTGTCACTGCAGCCTTCTCACAACCGTGAGCAGAAGGGATACTGCGCTACATTTGTCTGTCCACTTTCCAAACGAGAGAAATCAATGAAGGAACAGCTTGTGCTTGAGCGGCTTCATAACAGCTTTGCAGAAAGTCAACATTTCTTTTCAGCGCTCTGTTGCTGATCACGGCATCTGAGTTCACACATCACGTGTTTTCGAATGGCCGTTGGTCTACACAGTAAACACAGTACTTGTAAAACGGCGGAGGCCTGGGCTGGGTCAGACTTAAGCCAGGAGGAGCCACAAACTCCATTTCAGTCTCCCGCATGGGTGGCAGGGGCTCAAGTTCTTGGGCTGCTTTTCCTTGCTTTCCCAGGTTCATCAGCAGGAAGCTGGATCAGAGGCAGAGCAGCCAGGGACATGAGTCTGCACGCTGAGATGCTGGCACTGCCAGTGGCAGCTGACCGTGCCACACAACACTGCCCCCTCCCTCCTGCCTGCTCCCCGAGCATCTCACAGGGGCCAGAGGAGCATGCTGGACCACAGGGTTATCTCCCCAGGGAAGGTGTTTTAGTTAAGCAGCTTTCAGTGTGGGCTCCAAATGCTTTAGTTGTAGAAACAGGTGACAAAATGCTGATAACCCAAGTCTGAGGAATGACAAGCATCGACGCTGCTGAGAAAACTGAAGCTGTGCTGGTACCACACACTCGTGTGTGCACGCACACACACGGACCCCCGTGCACTTCATAACCTGTTCACATGCCTGTGTCCCCTGCCTTCCACACTGATTCTCCAATGCTCTGGGTGGGTCCTATAACCTACCGAGAGCCAAGGCCTCAGACGGACGGAAGCCCATGTGTTTAGCTTTTTGACAAGCTCTGTGTACCTAGAGGCGGCAGCCCCCCCGGGGAAGAAAAGGGACAGGATTAGAAGGTGCCAGTGTGGCAGGATGAAAGAGCCACTTGCCAGCCATTGGTGATCTGGCCACCCCGGTCACCCCGGCCACCTGCTTGAAGCAGGGTAACAAGAACAAGGGCAGGAGGGAGGACAGGCAGGGAGCACTCCCCGACGTGACTCAGGGTGTGACCACCGCTGAGAACTGGGCGGTCCTTCCCTCTGACCTCGGACACTGGCAGGGATGCAAGGACTGCCACATTTGACGTGACCTGTGATCACGCTCCCCCGGGTAGGTGACGCCATCAGGGAAGCCCTGCTTCATTTGTTTCTTTTTGCTCCCAAGTGTGAGCAACTGCATTATTCTCTTCACTTTCACTTCAATCTGTTTCCTAAATCTACAGAGCATTTACATAGTTGCAAAGTGAAATACTCTGACAAAGTAACATTGTGCCATAGTATCCATGGGGGATTGGTTCCTGGATCCATCCTTATTCAAGTCCCGTAGAAGTAATGGGGCAGCCTGGGCACAGAAGCCACCCCAGCCTCCTGCACCCCGAAGTCATTTCCACATCATCTGTAAGGCCCTGCACAACCTAAATGCCAGGGAACCAGCTTTTACTATGGTATGATTCTTATTTTTTATTTTCAACCCTTGGGGTCCGGCACATTAGCTTAGCTGCTGAAGTCCTTGCCTTGAGTGCACCGGGATCCCATATGGAGCCGGTTCTAATCTTGGATGCCCTGCTTCCCATCCAGCTCCCTGCCTGTGGCCTGGGAAGGCAGTTGAGGACGGCCCAAAGCCTTGGGACCCTGCACCTGTGTGCGAGACTCAGAAGAAACTCCTGGCTCCTGGCTTTGGATTGGCACAGCAACAGCCATTGTGGCCACTTGGGGAGTGAATCAGTGGATGGAAGGTCTCTGTCTCTCGTCTCTGTATATCTGACTTTCCAATAAAAATAAAATAAATCTTTAAAAAACACATACATTTTCAGCCCTCGGTGGGTTGAATTTGTGCACGGGGAATCCAGATTTGGAGAGTAGACTGTTGATTCAGAAAAGCTACATTTTCATCCTCCCCTTCATGCTTTCAGAACTGTTTTATTAGGTTTTGATATTTGTATCTATTTAAAAAACAATCAAAACTATAAGCATATGTGTGTGTATCCTATGAATGCATGCCTGTTCTATATGTGTGTGTGTCTCATGGATGCACACCTGTCCTGTGTGTGTCCCATGGATGCATGCCTGTCCTGTGTGTGTGTCCCATGGATGCATGCCTGTTCTATGTGTGCCCCACGGATGCATGCCTGTCCTGTGTGTGTCCCACGGATGCATGCCTGTCCTGTGTGTGTCCCATGGATGCACGCCTGTCCTGTGTGTGTCCTATGGATGCACGCCTGTTCTATGTGTGTCCCATGGATGCATGCCTGACCTCTGTGTGTATGTATCCCACGGATGCATGCCTGACCTCTGTGTGTATGTATCCCACGGATGCATGCCTGTCCTGTGTGTGTCCCACGGATGCACGCCTGTCCTCTGTGTGTCCCATGGATGCACGCCTTTCCTCTTTCCTGAAGTACACCATGCTGCTCTGCCTCCAGCTTTTCTCACTTACCAACCTGTTCCAGGAATGCCTGTGCATCAGTCCACTCAGAGCTCGCAGCCATTCCCTATTTCTTTTCAGAGCAGTCCTTTGTCACATCCGTGTTACTCTACCAGTCTGCTAGAGATGGAGGTCTTATATACACAACTGGTCACGTTTTTGCAGTGCCTCTTTGGGCCATACTCCAAAGAGTGGGAGGACTGAGGGAAGCTACCTGTCATGGGGACAGATATGGCCAGATGTCATCCCCCAGCCACGCTCTGCATGACGGGAGCTTTTGCATGCTTTGCACACTGCCACCTCCTCCCGCCCTTCCTTCACACATCTCCCTAGATATCCTTGCTTGGCTGTTCTCTGCATGGAGTCAAAGAGAAGACGCGCAATGGAGCTAGCACTAACTGAGCACCCAGTGCCTCACCAACAGACTGAGTTCCCACTTCTAATCGAAGACAAAAGAAACATCGCCGGGGGACTGTATTTCGTGATTCTCTTAACGCAATGATGAGCACTTTTTCAGATGACTAAAGGCCACTCACAATTCTCTTACCCATCTGTCTAAAGGAAATGACTTTAAAGGGTTACTGATTTTTACTTTGTAATTTTCAAAAGCGGCTCTTTACATATTACAGTTGGCTCTTTGTATGAATAAAAAATGGGAAGCTTATTTAGCTTCTGACTTAGTTTGTGGTATCTTTGATGTCCCAAAAGAGCCTGTAAGATTTTTATATAATCAAGTTATTCAAACCCCCTTTTTAAAATTGATTTGAATTTCACATTGACACACAGATTTTTTTCACTCAGGATATAAAAGAATTCACTAATGTTTTTATCTGGCACTTGCATAGTTTCATTTTTGAATCTAAAATGTCATATCCATCAGTCTTGGTTTCAGCACAATTTGGCTTTTCCACCATTGGCTAGCAACTTATTCCAGCACTTTCCAGAAGAGTCTGTCCATTCTAATCGATTAGAGATGCCAGCCTTTGTGCAAAGGGGCCTCTCGTGCTTGGTCCAAGCCACAGTTAGAATTACGGAAGGTTTAACACACTTTACAAGCCGGTAGGCCTACCACCTCTTACTGCTCTTCTTTCACTGGATTTTCCCAGCTAGTCTTGCTGTGAGTTCTTTCAACTAAATTTTATAGGGGGGGGAAAAAAGTGGCATTTTTACTGAGATCACCTAAGGGATGATATTGCAAAAGTTATAGAAAATCTATACTACGAAAAAAAACTAGGCAAGGATTTCAAAAACTTTTGAAAACAAAACAAATTTGCTTTTCATTCTACTTCTGAATTTTCTGCAGGTTTGTAGTACATGACCACATGATCTTGTGAAGAGCTGATGTTTTAGGACATTGAGTTCCTAGCTAAACATGTTATGCCATGTCTTCTCATCTGAATGGGAGAGACTTTTTTTTTGTAATGAGCTATCTGATTGGTTGCTCAAGGAAATGACCCACAAAGCAGAGGACACTGATAAGCTTCACAAGACAAGGGGAAGGAGGCCATTTACCCTAGTGGTCAACTTGATGCTTGGAACAACCGTTATCCAAATGGGAGTGCTGGGTTCAAGTGCAGGCTTTGGCCCCTGACTCTAGATTCCTGGTAATACGCTCCCTGGGGGCAACAAGTGTTGGCTCAAGTATTCGGGTCCCTGCCACCAACATAGCTGTCCTGGATTGAGTTCCCAGCTCCTACCTTCAAATCGGACAGTTCTTGCCACTGCAGGCATTTAGGGAGATTTTTGCTAGTCCCACACAAATTAAAACATGTATGCAGAAATGTGTCTGTGTCTCTCTCTGTGTGTGTGTGTGTGTGTGTGTGTGTGTGTGTGTGTGTGTAATTTCAACAGTTAGAAAAAAAAGAGTAAGACAGTTCCTGGATTGGAGTGAGACAGAGCGGAAAGGCTCTAGGATCCACTACCCGACTGGCGATGCTAGCTGTGTGCACCACCACGGGGATGCAGGAAGGGAGCTGAGCTGTACAGGGGACAGTCCTCCTCCTCCTACAAAATGGCAAACAAAGTCATCAACTGAGTGAGAAGGGATTAAGAGGAGAGAAAAAGATAAAATGGTCATTCAGAAAAAAAAGAGAGAAAGAGATGTAAACAGCACGGGGAAAAGAATAATGTAGAAGGAAAAAGCTGTCCTTGAGTTTCAGAGGAAGAATGTAAGCCCTGCACTTCCAGGGCAGCAGAGGGGCTGCCGCACGGGGCCAGCTCTCTCCACGGGGGGCTCAGTGGCAGAGATCTTCCCAAGACCACCCATTTAACCTGGGGCGACCTCGAGAGCACACACTCACCACCTCCTCCGAGAACTCCAGTCTTCTCACAAATCTTGACGACCTTCCTCCTGCGGCTTCCCCGAGTGTCTCTACTAGGGCTTCCAACGTGTTGGACTGGATGTGGATCATAACCTGCAGAGAGACAGACACGCAGAGCCAAGCCTGAGACCCAGGGAAGCCTGCAGCGACAGGTGTCCACCTCCTCTGGAGCTCTTTCCACCTCACGCACTTTGCACGGGTTCGGAAAAATGCCTTGAAGGATGCTCACCTGCCGACGCCTGCTTTCTGCTGGTGAATCAAAACACCACCACTGCAAACCCAGCTGAAAATGGGAGGCTGAAATCATGGAGACCACCAGCTGTGTCAGCCTGGGTCAGGGACTTTCAACTTCATTTGTGACCTGGGGAAGGTACCTTTAGGTCACACACAAGCATGCACGACGCAGCAGCACTTGGGGGTACTCAACACTCCGTGCTCTAGATTCAGAGGATATGAGCATCACACGACCTCCTTCAACAACAGCGGCAGAGGGCACCTTGAACTTTACTGGGGACATCAGGGATGCATGCACAATGCATACAGAGGACAGAGCCTTGATGAGGCATTCCTGCCTGTGCCGATCTGTTACAGAACTTCTGCAGTTGGCTACTGCACTGGGCTTTGGGAATGATCCTGCCATTCACCACCATTCACCGGTCCGATCTGACTAGGAGGGAGCTGGCATTGGGGTATAGCAGGTCAAGTTGCCACCTGCGAACTTGGCATCCTATGTGGATAAGAATAACCTAGAAGTCGCCAATGTTAACTGCCATTCATTCTTGGATGTATTATGTTCTAAATGTATTTTTTCTCCAAAAGTTTATTCTGCTCTATCAGTCATGGTATAAAAAATGTCTCTTCATACATGAATGAATATTAGGGAAAAAAAAGAAAACTCCATTTTTAACAAGCACATAGCAAATCATTATAGAAATATAACACATTCCAGGAGGAAGAGAGGGGCAGAGAGATCTACTATTTACTGTTTCACTTCCCCAAATGGCTTTTTTCTTTCTCAAGATTTATTTATTTTTATTGCAAAGTCAGATATACAGAGAGGAGGAAAGACAGAGGAAGATCTTCCGTCCGATGATTCACTCCCCAAGTGACTGCAATAGCCGGTGCTGAGCCAATCCGAAGCCAGGAGCTCTTGTGGGTCCCCCATGTGGGTGCAGGGTCCCAAGGCTTTGGGCCATCCTTAACTGCTTTCCCAGGCAACAAGCAGGGAGCTGGATGGGAAGTGGAACTGCTGAGATTAGAACCGGCATCCATATAGGCTCCCAGTGCATTCAAGGCAAGGACTTTAGTCACGAGGCCATGGGGCCGGGCCCACCAAATGGTTTTAACAATCAGATTGGCCCTTGAGGTTAGCAGCCTGGCACTCTAGCTGGGTCTCCCACATAGGTGGCAGGGACCCAAGCACTTGGGCCATCCTCCACTGCTTTCACAGTTGTATCAGCAGAGGGCTGGATCAGAAGTGGAGCAGCTGGGACTTGAACATGCGCTCACATGGGAGGCCAGCGTAGCAGGAGGCAGCTTAACCCACTGTATCTCATCACCTGCCCCAAGGAGTCATCTTGGATCCTGCAGAACAGAGCGAAGCAATTCCAAGCAGACTAGATATCAATACGAGGAGTTGGATCTAAATCCAGTGCTCTAAAGTGCAGGCAAAATCATGAGCATGGCTATGCTGAGAGACAGGAATTTCTTGAACTTCTGCCAGTCTTTAATCCCTGTCTTCTCAAGGATGTTTGCAAGCACAAGAGAACCAATGTCTTTTCCAGGGCAAAGCAAGTTATGACAAATTTGGGTTCCCTAAGCTCAGGTTCCTCTCCTAAGACTCAACCCACTGTGTGCAAGACACATATGGGGCTTCTCATGCTGCCTTGCAGGAACTGAGGCAAAGGGATGCGATGCAAAAACACCGATACTGTGACAGCTGTCAGGAACTAGCCTTCATCTCCTAGTGGTGGACACCATAGCAGCATCCCTGAGTGGGGCCAGGCTAACCAATCAGCTTGCAAGCAGGCTAAGTCTTGGTGCCATCACAATTCTTTAATACCCATGGTTCATAAAACTCAGTTGCCATTTGGCTGCCAGTGTCTCTCTCCTCAGGGGCAAGGACCAAGCGCCCCGTGGCACACCATGTCTCCAGTTCCTGGCAGCAGCTCTCATTAACTGAACGGGAAGTGGAGAGGGGTCTCCAAGCAATTTGCAAACACAAATCACTAGGGCCCTATGTGAGAAGCCAGGGGCTCCTGGCAAGAGGACATTGTGTCTTTGTCAACTGTCCCCGCTTCTCTTCCCGCCTCCAGCAATGATCTCTGATTGAGCAGGGATCCTGAGAATAAGGTTCCCTCTTAAAACATGTGGATGAAGGGCAATGCCGTTACTGATGAAAGGCACAAACAAAGCTCTGAGTTTTTTTCAAACCAACGTCCGAATGCAGAGTATACTGTGTCACCTTGATCGCACAGCTTTCGAAGAAGAAGCTAGGGCAACTGATTGGGCAAGGAACAGGAGAAACTTGGGCAAGAAGAACTATCTACAAAACATATACTATCTGTCCCACTGCTTTTTTGAAGCCTCAGGAAGTGCGTGCCTGGACACCTGTGACCCAACACGAACTGAGCTTTGAGCAGGAGGAAACATACAGTTCTTGCTTCACTTATTCTCTTACCTGAAGCAGAGGATCACGGTGTAGTATAGACTGCTAAGTCTCCCGTCCACACCCACTCTCCCCTCTTTTTCCATAACAGGACTCTCTAACCTGAGCTGCTCTGGCAAACGATGCACAGATCTGCATTTCCCAAGTTTGTCTTTTTGTTGTTTTTGCAAATTCTGTGTGGACACAGCATCAAGTTTTGGCCAAAGGCACACATGAATACAAGTTGTTTGGGAAATGCCACACCTGACTTAGACTGACTACCTCCAGCTTTCTACATCCAAGAAAAAGAAGGCGCTCCGGCCCAGCATGCTAGCCTAGTGGCTAAAGTCCTCGTCTTGTATGCCAGGATCCCATACAGGCGCCGGCTCGTATTCCAACTGCCCCACGTCCCATCCAGCTCCCTGCTGCTGATCTGGGAAAACAGTGGCAGATGACACAAAGCCCTTGGGACCCTGCATCTGCGTGGGAGACCCGGAAGAAGCTCCTGGCTCCTGGCTTCAGACTGGCTCAGCACTGACTGTTGTGGCTACTTGGGGAGTGGACCAGCGGGTGGCAGAACTTTCTCTCTGTCTCTCCTTCACTCTGTAAATTTGCCTTTCCAATAAAAAACAAATCTTTAAATCTTTAAGCAAAAAAGGAAAAAAAGATTGTATATATGTGGCTTCTTTTTTTTTTTTTTTTGTCTTCACTGCTCCCAACCAAATGTAATTTCTAACCTGTGCATGTGGGTGATGCACCTGCTCCAGGGGACTTAGGGGAGCAGCATCCTCTCTCCTGTCCTGTGTATGCTGCACCAGGAGACCCCACAGTGCAAGCCAGGACGTTACGGTGACCTGATGAGCTAGGAGGAGGCACAAGCCACTCTCACTTATGCTAACAAGTACATGATCTAAGTAGGAAAGGTAATCGCATGTCCATCCCCTCAGATGGTACGTGCCATTCTACAAAGAGCTTCCTTCTGTTTGGGCAGAACGTCACATTTCCAGAGAAAGGATTAGAATTCAAACAGTTAATACTGTGTTGATCACTCTGCCATTTCCGGTTAACCCTTTGGTGCTCAGCAGCATCGCTGAAGCGAGATCACTGCTCTTTTCAAATCGATGGGTTTAAAAGCAGACGGGAGGACAGAGTCGACACCCGTGTGTCTCTTTCACGTTGCTGCCCGATCACTGCATTCGGTTAGCAGGCAGGAAACCACCGGGCCACAGAGGTGCCAGGGAAAAGGCTGAGACAAAGAGAATTAAGTTGGGAGAAAACTAGATACGTTCCACTTTCAAGCGGCAGCAGCACTGGATTTTAGTGGGAGGCAGGCATTTTTAGAGTCGCTCCGAAAAAAATTCACATCCCACACTTGTTTCTGCCAATGCTGACTGGATCCTTGTGTCCCACTGCTCAGGTTCCCAAGCCTTAACGATTACGGAGTTGCCTGAAAGGGTTACAAGTGGCAGACGGACTGGGACAAACTCGGGCCCACCAAATGATTTTGAAGTTCTATGGTAACAAACACCAAAAACCTGACAGATTATCAATTTTGAGAATGGCACCCACCCCCCCACACCCCCCCCCCAGGAAGACAAAACGTACTTATGTTGTTTAGATTGAGCATTTGGAAGAATTTCCTGGGAATTTTTAAACAATAAAATGACCTAAGTTCCTGGAGAACAGATAATTCTTGGGAAGACAAATCTTCCTCCATGGGAAAGGTGATTCATATTCCAGATTCCTACACAGTCCCTGCCCAAGGCAGGCCCGTTCCCAATGCACCACCACCGGCCGACCTTTCCTTCCAGCTCTCGGAGGGGCTGCCCTGGCCCCTGACCCCAGGCCCCGCACCCTGCATCGCTCTCTCTCCTGGGGTTGGAGCGCTCCACTCTCGCAGGCTCCAGGCTTATTTCCACCAGATATATTCTCATCTAAAACCAGTCTTTGCTGGATTCTCCCAGCCACCGTGGAAGATGGGTGTGGACTGGGCTGAGGGATCCGAGCCGGGGAGTGTATTCCAGGCGTAGTACAGCTCTTGACATCCAGGTTCACATCTTTTCTTTTACTGGGAAGGAATGGCTGATTTCACACTTGGGTTAAAGATGCCCATGCAGCCCTACAGCTGGCGCTGCGGAGTGGCGGGTTAAGCCTCGTCTATGGCACCAGCATCCCACATGGGCACCGGTTCAAGCCCCAGCTGCTTCACTTCCAATTCAGCTCCCTGCTAATGCAGCTGGGAAGGCAGAAGAGGATGGCCCCTGTTCCCAAGTGGGGGACCAGAATGAAGTGTCTGGCTTCACTGTGACTACCTGAGGAGTAAACCCACAGATGAAGATCTCTCTCTCCATCCCGCCTTCTCTCTCTGTAACTTGGCCTTTCAAATAAAAATACGTAAGTCTCAAAAAATATCTATATTTCACTACAGCATCTTCACTTTCACACCCGCACTGGAGACAGGCAGATTCCTCAGAGAGTGATAGAAACTGAACTAACAGACAGGAAGTACCTAAGGATGGGAGTCTCAGGTAAATGAAGCAAAAACTAGGCCCTGCCACTGGCTTCAATTTCTCACCTCATGATTCCCCTCAACCTTACCTTCACTCTGTGGAAGCCACTCATGGGCCAGGTGAAGCACCCTCCCCCCTGCACCCACATGCCCTGCATTCCTACCCCACCCGAGGCGGGAGGCCCGCGGATAGTGCCGGGTCCTTCTAGAAAGTCTTCTGGGAATGGATGTGGGGGTGACACCTGAGGACAAGCCTTGTGGGGAGAACTGAAAAATCACCATCACCCCCAGTCTTTCTGGAAGCTTAGAGTTGTTCTAGTCATTGGGTTGACAGATTACGAGGGGATATTGTTTCAGTAACTTTCCTCACGTCAAACCATGACAAGTCAAGTCGATGACCACCGACTGTGTGCCAGGTGCCACGTTCAGTGCTTTACAATCACCCCTTTGGATCCTCACAACAAAAGGGCTGCTACTCTGGCACCTGCTCTTGCAGATCACAGGAACTGTGGAGGAAAATCAACTTTCCTGAGGACCCAGAGTGCACGTGGTTGTGATGAGCAGCTTAGGCCAGCAGCCTCACCAGCACCACTCTCCGGCCCAGGAGTGCACAGCCCCTGCATCCCAGCAAGGCCACATCCTGTCTCCTTCCTGAGGCCGGCCGATGACCTCTTCCTTTCTAAGATGCCCCCTTGGTTTGTTCCTGCTGGGCAGCCCTGTCTTTTCCTCCTCTCCCATTGGCTGTGACCTATTACCCCGGTTCATGGCACAGCGGGTCCTGCAGCCTTCCGCTCTTTCCCGAACATTCTCCTCATCCCAACTCTCTGTTTAAGGACAATCAGGACCCTGGCAACGAGGCTCCAAACAAGAGACACAGGTGGCCCAGAGGACACAACGCGACAGATGGTAGGAGGAGTGAGGGCCATGAGCACCTGCTGTACTCGGCGAGTGTCAGGTGCTAATTCATGCACTGTGGTGCACTAGCTCATTAATCACAGTGACACCACGAGGCAAGGACAGGTTTCTCCAAGGCTCAATGAGAGTCCATTTCTACCCCCCTCACCTCTCTACATCCGACAGCCTTCTTAGACTCCCCTCATGCCTTCAGTGTTGAGCGCGGTTGTTTTTCTGAGTCCATCTGCCTCTCTCACTTATGCATAAGCGCCTGGAATCAGCAGCTGTCCCGACTCCTCTCATGGGGGAGAAGGTGCTGCACCGTTTTGCAAACAGGAGCTCAATAGCAGATGATTCCTTTGAACAGAATGGAGACCTTGGACCAAGAAGTCACTGCACACAAAACAACTCGGCATCATTTCGGCACACGTCGAGTCTTATTTGAAACCCCCCAAAAGTCACTTACATTTAAGTTAATGCAGGCTACGCTTTCCGGATTCATGATTTGGGAAAAAATGGACACGGCTTTCTCCACCTGATTCTAGAAGGGAGAAAAATAGGTTATAGTTCAAGCCAAGATCGTCGTGCCACCATCAAGGTCATTTAGAGGAGCCAGCATACTCGAGGACCCAGGGCTTGGAAGTTCACAGAGCAAAGCTTTTGATGACCAGAAATAAACTTCCTTAAGACACTCCAACCTCAGGTTTGTGAGCGGCTGTTCCAACAGTGACCTGAGCTCAGCCTGGGGATGGAGGTCTCACACCTGCATTCCTCCTTCTCCAGGGGAACTGCCTTTCAGAAAAACAAGCATGAGAAATACAACATGAACCCCGTCTTGGACATCGCCAGCATGCAGAAAACCTCAAAGCCCAGGAGAGGCGGCGGCCATGCCAGAATAGGACAGACGGAGTCGGGCAGGTGCAGCAGATGGCAATCGGAGGAGGATGCTACTGTGCATGTCAGAGCTCAGGGCGATGACCCGAAGGCATGATGGGAAGAGGGAGCACACCGGTCAGGAGTGGGCAACTGAGGATGGTCACAGCTGAGATGTCTCCTTCCCCATGGGAGCAGCAGAGAACTGCCCACTGGCAACTGCACCAACACCTCTTCCCACTGGCTAGGGAGGACAAAAGCCTGGATGCACGCGGACACTGGGTTATACGGAAGAAAAGCCTGATGGACTAAAGAAACTCCGCTTGCTTGTCCGTTCCCTCTCTCTCTCTCTCTCTCTCTCTCTGACATCAATATTCTGCAAATGACTCGCCCTAAGAGAAATATTTTTCAGTGATGAATAATCAAAATAGATGCAGCACATACATGCCATCAAGGTGATTTTTCAATAAAGACTGTGTGATCGATGTGAAGGGCAGAGGAAGGGGGAGACAGAGATGAAATCTGGTTCACTCCCCGGACGGCCAGGACCTGGGCCAGGCAGAGGTCAGGAACTCCACCCTGGTCTCCCGAGTGGGCGGCTGAGGCCCAAGCAGCTGGACCCTCTGCTCTGCCATTGCAGGCACATTAGCCGGGAGTCCAACTAGAAGCAGAGCAGCCGGGACTCAAACTGACACTCTCCTATGCGATGCCAGTGTTGCAAGTGGCACTTTAACCCACTGGATCACAATGCCAGCTCCAAGAGTAATTTTTTCTTTTTAATAAAAAAGGAAAGGAACATAAGAAAAATATTTCCAAAGGTCTAGAGGACGGAAATGAGAAAAAAGAGCAAGACCACATCAATCGGAAGTGGAACAGAGATCATGCCAGCCTTCGCCTTCACAGCAATTCTCATGGAACATTATTCTCCTAAGGAATTTGCTAGAAGACAAGGCCTCAGCCTATCAAGAGAAGGCTGGAAAATCAAGTATGCAATAGAGAAAGATCCTACTGAACTACACACAAGACTGAATCACATGTGGGGACACAATTACAGAACAGTCCAAGTGAACATGGCACAACGAGGGACCAACACTGTGAGAAGTCAGGAAGAAGGGGAGAAAACCAGGTAAGGAGTCAAAGCACCCCCACTTCCTCATCTTCATTATCTGCAGATTGAAAAACAACAACACTGAAAGCTGACAAACCAAGCAGATGTGAGAGGGAAGTGAACACAAGAAGAGAGAAGATATCAACTAAAGTCACATGAGGGAGGAAAATCAGAGAAAAGGGGAATTTGCAAATTTTACCATTTCTTGTATTCGAGCATTGCACTAAAAGAACGGCTAGCAACAGAAGCAAAGCTGAAATGTATGCAGTATCTGAGACACGTCTGAGAGATTTACAAAGATGACTGAAGAAGAGGGGTGCTTAGGAAAAGGTATGGACCAGACAAAAACAAACCCAATCAGATTGAAGAGACAAACAAAACACGGTGACGGATGTGCTGGACATGGTGTTTTAAGACAACACACAAGTCAGGGCAAAAGCCACATACACGACCAAGAAAGACAGTCGAGCGAGGGACACAACTGATGATGAGCCAGCAGCAACATGCACCTGTGCACCCAGTAGTCTAACCCACACCCTGGGGGGAGGAACACTGTGACAGGTGCTTCAAAGGGAAACAGAAAGGCCTGCTGTAGGAGATATCTTAACGGACAGAGCAAGGAGAGAGAGAAGCTGAGGAAACCCAGTGGACACCCGGCGAGGGTATGTCCTCAGCCTGGGTCCTGTCGGGGCTTTTCCCAGCAGCCTGCACAAACAGCTCTGTTTCTCGGATTTCTCATTACCCAGAAGCCAGCAAAGGCCCAGGCACACCTGCTAGGATGTTTCCTCTTACCCAGGGCAAGTGGGAAAGGTGTCTCATTTCCTAAGTCTTGGAATGGGACATCTCGGAGGAAGGGGCTATTCCTGAGACAGGGTGGACGCTCAGCCTTCCAGCTCCCAGGTACCATGACAGAGGTGGCTCCACGCCGAACCCCCTCTTGCCTCGGAGCCTTGCTGGCGTCCACCTATCCGGTGGGGGCAGCAGAAATGATCACAAAAACCCCATCCAAATAGTATCAGCTGGGTCTCACTGTGAGATCCCCTCCCCACTCTGGAGATGAATTCAGCTTTGGACCAGTGTCTCCCTGACAACTCAATGGTCTGGGTCACTTGAAATTTTCATTTTAATGACTCAAGCAGTTCCTCTCAGAGCGCAGCTTTCCTGCCTGATTCTCGATTCTCCACGGGATCTTAACTGATCCCTTCTGAACAAAAATGCTTGTTAGTTTCTCAACAATAAATAACACCCCTCCTTTTTTTCTTGTAGGCATAGTCTTAGGTTGCCATGGCAACAAAGCCATTCATCTCTTGAAGGGAATTTCTTTGCAAGGGAGTCAGGAGGGTAAAAATGCAATAAATGAAGGAACCAAAATACAGTTCTGCCCAATCTGACCACCTCTGTGCACCCCAAAGCCTTACCTGACGGAGCGCTAACGCCACGGCGAAGCAGGCTGCTCTCCTGCAGAGGATGTCTCCTCTGATCAGGGCTTCTTCTCTTAAAGTCATGCAGATTTTAAAAGATTCAGGACTGTCCTGTGCAGAGAGGAGCCTGCTTAATACATGCTGTTAATTTAAGTTCTGCAGAATGATGACTGTGTGGTAACAGCAATAGGGAAACGCACAGGGCCTGACCATACAACGGCAGTCACTTGTGTGAGCTTTGGAAATCCAGTTAACCACACCTTCCTATGTACCGAAAACAAAGGGGCCCCAAGCAAGGCAGGAGAACACGGGCCACTGAAAAACTCCCGAAAGAACAGCAACACCACCTGTCCCAAACGAGGGGCTGCTGGGTCACAGTGGCAAAAACCCTGCACTACACAGCCTGTCTCAGGCCACAGAGTCGCTGCAGCTTCCTGTGAGCGGACATGGTCAGCTGTGTGTCAGATGCTCAGATCAAGTCTGATATAGCAGTTTGTGTGCAAGAAGCACTCTGCAATGAAAGAAGCACTCACAGGCCTTGCATCCACAAGGAGCTCATTTTCATGTCATACCCATTTATGTAAGGCACCCTGTTAGATGCTGGGACACGGAAGGCCCCACAACTCCCACAGAGGGGGGTGCAGAATCTGCACCTTGCAAATATAATGTCAGACAATGCCAGAGGAGACACAGAACATATATTTAAGAGAGGATAAATGGTAATCCAACTCCCGCATGATGAGGACAAAGTAGTCTTGGCATCTGCCATGAAAGGCTGGGAAGACTGCCACAGGAGAAGGCACCAGGACTCGGGGATGGAAAGTCCAGAACTACAAAGAGAGACAAGGCACAAACACGGCCTCTCCTGTTCTCACACTCCACATCCTGGCAGGTGCCAAGATGACAACCTTGTCTTTCCCATCATGCAGCTGTCTCACACAGCGAGTCTTCTACCGATGAACACATTTTCAACGGAAGTATTGGCACCAGATGAGAAAATACACATCAGAGGAACTAAACATTATCTATGAACCATCAGTCAATCACTCCTCTTTCCAGTACTACCCCAATGCTCAGAGGGTAAAGGGGAAGACAGCCTTACCAGTTTGTAGCAGATGGCAAAGGCAAGCACATAGGTATCTCTGCTAAATTTCACATCCTGGTCTTTCATCTCTATCAGGACCTCCAGTGCACCTGCCGAAAGGGGAGGCGTGGGCCGCTAGGGTCAGAGTTGCTCTGGCTGTCGGCCCCCGCAGCCCTCACCTGTTCAACACCACCCACCAAAAAGCCACAGCACAGATAATAGTCCGCTTACAGTTGTTGCAAGAATCACAACATGCAACAAAAAGCTAGCAGCACCTTACAACCTGCTACCATTTTAGCACGAGGAAAATCTGGAATGGCACGGGACACCAGGCAGTCTTTGCAAACCCAGACAGGCTGAGGTCTCCGTGATCCGGGCGCTCAGCAACAGAGGTGGCAGCTCTGCACGGTCCTCCTTTCCCTTTCGCATCTCCCCAATGGCTTTCGCAGCAAACAGGCCATAGTACTTACTCTGATATCTGCCTTTAGCAAACAACATCTCCATGAGAATGTTGAATGACGTGGAGTCTGTGAAGAAACCTCGCAATTGCTAATGAAAAAAACAAAACAGTAGTTCAGCCAGCAATTACAACTTTTAAGAAGGTGTTTACACTGCGTCTTGTCTCTTGACGGCTTCTTCTACATCCTGTATCCACTTGGCCTCCTGAATTCTCTAGGGAATCTGGCACACCAGGGATCTATTCTTGAACAAAGTTAAGATGCTGTCATCGCCGCGTGAGCCAGGCCATTCAGAATGGCGTGCTGCTTCGGAGTTTTTAGAAAATCAGATTTATCTTATTTGTTTGAAAGACAAAGGAGAGAGAGAGAGAGACACAAAGAGGAAGAGAAAACGAGATCTTCCATCCACTGATTCACTCCCCAAGTAGCCACATCGGTCAGAGCTGCACTGATACGAAACCAGGAGCCAGGAGCCTCTTCTGGGTCTCCCATGCAGGTGCAGGGTCCCAAGGCTTTAGGCCGTCCTCTACTGCCTTCCCAGGCCACAAGCAGGGATCTGGATGGGAAGCAGGGCTGCTGGGATTAGAATCAGTGACCATATGGTATCCTGGTGGGTGCAAGGCGAGGTGCATGCTAGACTATTGTGCTGGGCCCTAATCCAAGTTTATTTCAAATATAACCCAATAATATAAAAATACATTAAAAAGTGAGACTCATTTGTAATTCTACCCCCTAAAGAAATCTAGTTTAGTGCATTTCCAGATTTTTAATACATATATACTAAAATGCAAAAAAAAAACCCCAAAAACGAACAAAAGAAAGAAAGAAATAGGATCAAAAGCCAGCTGTGCACAGGGGTGCTGGTTTGAATCCTGGTAAATGTCTGGGAAAGCAGACACGTGTTCAGTTCTCGCACGTGCACCCCAGCTGAAGCCGTCGCCTGTCCCTGTACCTCCCATGTCCCTGTCCTGGGCTCTGACTCCCGGGGGACAGAAGCGCAGGGCTGCGTTCATGCCACCCAGCAGTCTGTCTCCACAGAGCGGCCTTGGGAACAGTGTGGGTCCCTCTGCGGACTTGACCCTAGGCAAGCGGAGACCACAGCGGCAGGGAATGTGACCGGCAGGCAGCTACTTACCCGGTCCTTGATGAGCTCCAGCGCGGCCTCCTCCAGATCCAGCTCGTAGCACAGCCTCATGAAGAGGGGGCCGAACTTGTATTCCGCCAGCGTGGCAGCTGTGTTCTCTGCGTGGTACCTGGGAGGCCAGCGGAGTCAGTGAGCCGTGGAAGGCAGGACACAGGAAACAGGATGGCCACACACTGCAGTCCGCACCCCGCCAGGTGCTGGGGTACAATGAAGGCGGAAGACAAGAGCAGATCTCAAGACCGTCTGGGGTCCCCTCTAGTGCGGGGGAACAGACACTGGGACAAACCAAGAGGGGACGGCGTTTGTCAGGAGCGGACACAGCCTGGTCAATGTGAGCCAGGGAGGCAAATGCGCATGTCATCACTCCAGGACCTGAGCAGTGACCCGGCTGGGTCGGCTTAGGAGCCCACGCGGGAACGCAGGGGCCTCCTGAGCAAGGACCCCACCGAGAACAAAGCAAGGGAGAGAGGGAAGGCCTGCGTTCGCACTGGCTTCATTTTCCATCTTGTCTCCCTCTCTGCTGCTCTAAGCTTGAGGCACGTGAGGGCTTCGACCCCCTTGCTGAACAAATAAATCCAAGTGTCATTCTGGAATCCGACCTCTCACTCACGGCTGGTGGACATCTGACTGTGATTTGGGATTTCTGCAGGCAGTCAGAACTGCAGAACTGTGAGTCAGGAAATTTCGAGAATCAATGTGTCCTGCCTTAGACACGAGGAGGACCATCTGGCACCAAAGAACCACGCAATCACACGTAATACAGACGGACAGGGCTGTGGCCGGCACCTGGCTGGGGAGCCACCAGCATCAAAAAGGGAGCATGGGTCACACTCCACTTACAATAAAAATAAGAGTTCAGAATTCACATCCTGATTTTCTATTCTTCTAAGCACCCAGTGGCTCTGAGTTACCAAATGCAGACAAATGGAAAGTGGGATCTCAAATGTGAGACTGAAACACAGAAATCAAGTTTGTGGACACAGTGGGCTCATAAAGCAGAGCACTTTCAGCAGAAATTGTGACAGTCTACACTGACGGGTTTTCAAGTTCATGTCCTCTGAGCCCAAAAAAAGAAATAAACAACACGTTTTAGGAGGCAGTTCCTTATCCCAGTAGTATTTACACTGGTAAAAAAAAAAATTAAAAATTACTGGGCCCAGTGCAGTGCACTAGTAGCTAAAGCCCTTGCCTTGCACATGGCAGGATCCCATATGGGCACCAGTTTGTTTCCCGGTGGCCCCACTTCCCATCTAGCTCCCTGCCCGCGGTCTGGGAAAGCAGTCAGGGTCAGCTCAAAGCTTTGGGACTCTGTACCCTGTCCTGGCCAGCACAGCCCAGGTACCAGCTGACTGCCCACAAGTGCGTGATTTCACCACCAGCAAAACTGTGCGGTACAAATGGCCTTCATTCCTGACCCCTGGAGCTCATCAGGCTCAGCTACTACAGACTGGCATGGTTTGTTATGCAACAACAGGTAACTGGCACAGCACAATTTGTGAAATAGTTCTTTCTAATTCGGTGTTTATTCTCAACAAATGTTGTGTAATATTTTTTTTCTTTTACCTTAGAAAATAATATCAATGTTTTATATTATAATGTTAGTAATAGCTGCTGTGGGCAAGTTTCTGAAACCAGAAATACATACATGCATTTGGATGGACCAGAAAAAAACAAAACAAAACAAAACAAAACCAGTTCAGTGATTTTCAGAGAATGACACTTAGTTTTTGGTATGTATTCTTCCAGTATTCTATATACAAATATCTCAGATTTTTTTTCTATAAATGTACAATATAAATGCTGGTCCACATGCAGAACTCTGCCTTTCAGAATTGGTTTTGCCCCAAGAGCATGCAAGGTCCATGCTGTGGCAGCCGGGCAGAACCCTGGAGGAGGGCAAACAGTTAGTAGTCCAACTGGAGATGCGAGTGGGAGATGCCGAGAACTGACACTCAGGGGTCGCAGACACAAAGGACGGCTGCAGGTGAGAGACAGCAAGGGTGCAGAAGCAAGCAGATTTCTGACCGTACCAGGGAGGAGAGGCAAGTGGTCCTGGGAGAAAACTCTCTAAGACACATGTCCCGAGTGGCAGGTCTGAGGGACAGAGGATGCACAGAAACGGATGCATCCGTGCAGGTGGAATCTGCAGCCCTGGCGCTGGCGATTGCATGGGAGTTATGTCTCTCCGTCCTTCCACCTGCCTAGTGTGAACCACCCTGGAGACGCTCCCGACACTGTTTGCTCAACAGCTACACATGAATGTCTGGAGGCAAGAGATCTGAAAGTCACGAGCGCAGAGGCGACAGGAGGGGAAGGCTGGCAGGCCCCTGAGGAGGTGCCTCACCTGTAGATGACGTTCTTAGCCAGCTCCACATCGTCCCGGGTCTCGCACAAATGAAGCAAGGTTTGCAACTCCTCCCTCAGGATGAGCTGGTTCTGGGCCAGTTTGTCTTCCAAGTTCCGAAAATAGGCTTCTGGAAGAAAGAACAGGGGCGGTGGCCGTCAGGCAGACTGCCTGGGTTGCACCTGCTTGATCTCAGGGTGGAGGGGAGGTCTGAAGCAGGCTTGTGCCAAGGCCCAGAGCTTCGAAGAAGCCACCGAGAAGAAGGCTGGCAGTCGTGGCTCAGCAGGGTAAGCCGCAACTTGGAACACTTGGATTCCTTCCTGGAGTGTCGAGTCCTAGCAACACTGCAGCTTCCTACCAATGCATCCTGGGAAGACGAGAGATGACAGTTCGAGTGCTTGGGACCTGTCACCCATGCTGGAGACCCATGTGGAGTCTGGCCTCCTGGGCTACGCCCAACCCAGCCTTGGTGATTGTGGGCACAGGGGAATAAAAAAGCACATGGAAGATGGTCTCTTTCTCTTTCTCTCTCTCCGGCACTCTGCCCTTCAAGTAGATGAAAACAAACACTTTCTCCTTTTGTATTTTTTAAGAAACCACACTTATAGTTCAGCACAGTAGTTTAATTGACTAATCCTCTCTTCACATGCACCAGCATCCTCTATGGACACCAGTTTGCGTCCCAGCAGCCCCTGCTTGTGTCCTGGGAAAGCAGTGGAGGATGGCCCAAAGCCTAGGGACTCCATGCAACCATGTGGGAGACCCTGGCTCCTGGCTTTGCTTAGGCTCAGCTCTAGCCATTGTGGTCATTTGGGGAGTGAACCAGCTGTTGGATGATTACCAAAAAGACAAGACAGAGCGAAGAAAAACAAAGATGACAAGATGCTGACAGGATGCTGTAACACTAACAACAGAGCATGCTGACGTTGGTCATACGATGTGATGGACCGTCCCATCTTCACTTACACAACCACAAACAGGATAAAGGTTTGTGAGATGGAAGCACCTGGAGAGCAACACTTGTTTGTAACAACTGTTACCGATTTATCTTCATAACAATCGGGATTCACAACTGGGCAGCGACATGCGGCTGGCACCACAGACATCTCCAAAGACCCAAAACCAAGGCTGCAAGTGGGTGGGTGCTTGGCACAGTGACCAAAATGCCGTCTGGGATATCAGATCCTGTATCCAAATGCCTGAGTTTGATTGCTGGTTCCACTTCTAATTCTAGCTTCCTGCTAATGTGTACCTGGGAGGCAGGGTGCTGGTTCAGGTACTCGGATCCCTGTTATCCACGTGGAAGACCTGGGCTGCATCCTGCACCCTTCACTTTCACCTGTTCCACCCTGGCTTTTGTGAGCAATGAACAAGCAGGTGGAGGATCGCCCCTTTCCTCTCTGTGACATAAAAAGGAAAATAAACTAAAAGCAAAAACAAATAAACACATAAAACATTGACCTGCTAAGACTCTCCGGGACTCAGAGAAAGACTGAAGTGAAATCTTTGACTTGGTCTCCAAGCCGGAGATGAACCTGTTTTCCTGCTCGTCTGTGGTTTATCTTCTTGTCCTGCAAGCGGGGTAACAGCAGGGAGGGGCAGAGAAGCCCCATTTCTGGAACTGGACTAGATGAGATGGAGGTGAGAAGGGCCAACCAATGGCACACAAGCATTTGGTAGCGAGGCAAGGCCTGTGTTTACCACTAGGAAAGGCCACAGGGACAATGAGTTATTCAAAGAGGACAATCCTATGTCCGGTGTGGTAACCTAGCAGCTAAAGCCCTCACCTTGCACCCGCTCCCATATGGACATCGGGATCCCATACGGGCACCGGTTCTAATTCTGGTGGCCCCACTTCCCATCCAGCTCCCTGCTTGTGGCCCAAGAAAGCAGTGGAGGACAGCCCAAAGCCTTGGGACCCTGCACTTGTGCAGGAGACCTGGAAGAGGCTCCTGGCTTCGGAGCAGTACAGCTCTGGCCACTGCGGTCACTTAGAGAGTGAAGCAGCAGATGGAGGATCTTCCTCTCTATCTCTCCTCCCCTGTGCATATCTGACTTTCCAATAAAAATAAATAAATCTAAAAAAAAAAGAGGAGAGTCCTACAAGTATGTATAAAGAAGTCCAGGAGGACATGAATGGGCAGGGTAAGTTTCCTGAGATGCTGAAAGGAATAGATCCAGGTACTGGAGATCTTGTGTTATCATTTGTTTTACAGTAAGAATTTATGAACATTCCCCAAAGAACAGAGAAGAGGAAAGTGATCCCTAAATGCGCATGATCCAACTTCAGCAACCATCAGCATTTTGTTTCCTCTACATGCCCCAAGCACAGTGGATTTTTTTTTTTCTAAACAAATCCCACACTTCATTGTCAAATTTCTCCTTGTTGCAGAAGATATCTACAATCCTACTTTTGGCACAAAGGAGAAACGTATCAAAATGCGCCATCACACACGGCCCCGCTTTCCTTCACTTCGCGCTTGAGTTACGTGCTTCTGCCCTGAAGCTGCAACACAGAAAAGTGTCCCTGAGGCTGACATCAAGCAGTGTGGTGGCCAGTCCCCTGCAGCTCTCAGCACTGTCACCACGATCAGCCCCTTCAGGAGTCGGATGCTCGGACACAGATGCAGACGAGGCGGTGGGCGGCAGCTCCAGTTGGAGCAGCTCTCCGGCATCCTGGGAGAAGGGATCAGACAGAGGACACTGCAGGGTTTGCAGCAGCCAAGCAGCAGGTGGCAGGTGGAAGAATGAGTGAAGCAGATGGCGTTACCTTTGGTGCCAGGAAGATTGTATGCGACAGCCACCTTCTTATGCTGGAATTCTTTCAACTTCACAATGTTATCTGTAAGGAGGTATCTTCTAGCTAAAAACGAGAATAAGGAAAAATCACAAACTTCGGTTTTCTGCATAGCAAATAACAAGAGTAGAGCCTGATTGCCCCTAATTAGCCAGCCTTATCCTCATTATAGACAATTTAGTTCAACAAGGACAGTAAGCCTGATAGTGGGAAGAAAATTTCCAGGAATGGTGTGGTGGCCTAGTGGCTCAAGTCCTGGCCTTGAATACACCAACATCCCATATGGGCACCGGTTCTAATCCCAGAAGCCCTGCTTCCCATCCAGCTCCCTGCTTGTGGCCTGGGAAAGTAGTCAAGGACAGCCCAAAGCCTTAGGACCCTGCACCTGCATGGGAGACCTGGAAGAAACTTTTGGCTCCTGGCTTTGGCTCTGACCATTGTGGCCACTTGGGGAGTGAATCATCGGACGGAAGATCTTCCTCTCTGTCTCTCCTCTCTGTATATCTGACTTTCCAATAAAAATAAATAAATTTAAAAAAAGAAACATTTCCAGACAACCAGAGAAGACTCCTCCTCAGCATGAGAAGCTTGGTCTCCGTATATGAAATGAACCAGCAAAGAGCTAATTTTAAAGAACAGGTTGACAGGAAGTTGGTATTTATAGGATAAACAGACACCAGCCATTAGGCATAAAAAGCATGTTAAAAATATAATATAAATGCCAGCACCACCATCCCATATGGGCACTGGTTCTAGTCCTGGCTGCTCCCCTTCCAACTCAGCTCCCTGTAATGTGTGCCTAAGGAAAGCAGAGGAGCATGCCCCCAGCACCCATATGGGAGACCCAGAAGAAGCTCCTAGCTCTTGGCTCTGGATCAACCAAGCTCTGGCCTCTGCAGCCATCTGGGGATCACTCCAGGGGATTGAAGATCTCCCCCTCTTCCTCTCTCTGTAACTCTTTCAAATAAATAAACCTCTAAACCAAACAACAACAACAACAAAAGACTATACACATAATGCAAAAGGAATCTCCAGTTTGGGTTTATCCAAGGCAAGAATGGGAATGTCTGGCCATGGGTTGTGTAAGGTCCATGAAATCATCTGGATTGACCTACCAAGGCAACTGGTAGTTGGGGTGGAACACTCAGTCTATAGCTGGCGAAGTTTTTTTTAAGTCTGTGTGACAGTTGGCGGGGGGTGGGGTGTCTCTCCATCCCTTTAGAATCCCCCAAGTGAACGGTGGAACTCTCAGTATTAGCATGAGGAATGTGGTCTTTCAATGCTGCACTCCAAGTAGCCTGGCGATGGGTCAGACATGACCCGTGGAAACAGTTAGAATCCTTAGCTGGGTATGAGGAAATGGACGAAGTCAGGCAAAGAATCACGCCCTCAAAGGGTATGTCCTACTCTAGCAAGACCACCATAAAAACTACTATTCATTCACCGGGTGGGGAGCAGTCTCACAGTAGCTGCTTCAAATCCCATCTCTACCAGTTTTTTCTGACTTTGGTCAAAGGGCTGGATTTTGTCCTCAGGGAATGGAGAAAGAAGGCTCTCACAGCGTGTTGTTGGATTAAACAAGCAGTGGTTGCAAAATGCATTGACCTCGTCTGCGCCTGATACAGTGTGGAAATATCACCCACTAGCATGTGCAAATTTAAGCCGTTTCACAAACACGTTAAGCGATCATTTCCAAAATAAGCGAACTTGCTTAGGGTCTTTCGGATTCTTTGTGGCCAAAGCTGGGATTTTCAAACCCTGTATAAAGGGCCACCCAGGTAAGGAGGAGGCAAAGTCGCCCCTCTCAGGCGAGCTCCAGGGTCAAGACCGCAGGTGTCCTTGGGTTTCCAAACACCAGGGACGTCTGCGACCCTTGGGGGTCACCGCGACGCTGCACAGACGCGCAACTAGAGAGCAAGGGCATGCTCCCCGGACATTTCCGCCTCCTCCGGCAACCCTCCCCGCCTTGCACCGCCTGAGCCCGCGGGTACCTCCGAGAGGGTAGCGGCAGCAGGCGGAGCCGGAGCCTTTCGCCCCGGGAGACAGAGAGAGTCGCAGCGCCGGCAGCACACCTCGCTGCCAAGGCCGACCAGCGACGGCCATCCTGTCCCGGGCCCTACCAACTGCGGAAACGGGGGAGGGAAGTTAGCCGTCGCCTAGAGCGCCCACTGGTCCGTCCCTTGAGAGGCCCCGCCTCTTCCTCCGCCGGCCCGCAACACCCCCCGGGCCGGCAGTCGTCTTAGTATGCTCCAAGATGGCGGCCCCCATGGTGCGGCGCGGGATGTTTCTGGCCAGGAAGGTGGCTCTGCCTTGGCTGTGGCAGGCAGGTTGGTGACGGCTGCCTCTGGTGGGCTGCTTCACTCGGGCCTTACGCTCGGTACCTTGAAGCGAAGGGGACGACGGGTTGTCCAGGGGAGAGGCAGTGTTTGTGGCCTCGTTGCTAGAGAAGCCGTTTGGGAGCCCAGGAAGGGAAGGGAAAGAGCCCTGGTTCGTCTCCTGCCCTGCAGTCATGGGGTTTGCCGGGCTGGCGATGTGCAGAGCAGAGGGAGGCACAGCTGAGGGATTCTGAGCACGGCTCGTTTTTCTGCCCGCCCCTGGTGGACTGAGGCATCTTCCTTCCCGGTGAGGTTTGCTGCGTGGAGCACGAGGGCTCACATCCCGAATCGGACCCAGTCTTCACCTCCTGGAAGGATTTCTGGGGGTTCAGCCCACGTTTATATGATGACCTTGGGAGACCACTTTTTGCTTTTTAAGATTGACCTTATTTATTGGAAAAGTAGAGTTACACATAGAGGGGGAGTTAAGGAGAGAGCGACAGATCTGCCATCCACTGGTTCACTGCGCCACAGTGCTGGCCCCCTTGGGCACAACTCTTGCTTGGGCTTACACTGCTTGGGGTTTCCAGGTGTGGGTAATCGGTGTGAACAGTTCCTTGTAAGTACTTGGAGACGAGTTGAACACAACCCACTGCTGGTGCATGCAGTGAACGTGCTGGGGTCCCATATGGGTGCCAGTTCTAATCTTGACTGCTCCGCTTCCCATCCAGCTTCCTGCCTGTGGTCTGGGAAAGCAGGCGGGGATGGCCCAAAGCCTTGTGACGCTGCAGCTACATGAAGACTCAGAAGAAGAAGCTCCTGGCTCCTGGCTTTGGATTGGCTCAGTTCTGGCCGTTGCGGCCACTTAGGGAGTGAACCAACCGATGGATGATTCTTTTCTCTGTCTCACCTCTTTGCATGTCTGCCTTTCCAATAAAAATAAATAAGTCTTAAAAAAAAAAAGGCAGACTGTCAGAAGATACAGGTGTGTAAGAGAACCATCCATTTCCTTGCTTGTTCCATGCTCAAGAGGCCACCCAGATTTCTTGGGTCCCCGCCCTGCTTCTTCATCTTGAAGGTGTGTCATTGCCAGTCAAGTCCTCAAATCACTACCCTTCACACATCACTCCGAACCAAGAAGTTCTTCTGTGTCCTTCCATTTGTCAGGACTCTTGTGATGCCATTGAACCACCCGAATTAAACAATCCTTTCTCCCATCTTTAGCTCAGCCGACTATCACCTCAATTCCTGGGGCACCTCCATGCCCCCCACCATGTAACCTAAACATCATTTCTGGGAAATGGGATATGGATGTCGTTAGAGACCGTCCATCTGCCTACCATATTTGACAACTCATTCCTGTTAGTCATTAGCTTCTATTAGGAAAATGTGCTATTTGCCAGACTTAAATTTTCATCCTAAACCCACTTCCTTTCATTATATCTTGGGGGGAAAAAAAACCAGGTAGAGGCTGATTATTTTTTCATTTTCCTTTAAAACAAACAGGAAACAGCTTGTGTTTTCAGTCCCTGTGGTTCCGTTCGGTAACTGCATCTTGGGGAATCTTTTCTGCACCCTTGGTTACTTCCCCACTTTCCATTTTTATTACTTCAGTTTACTTAAAGGCAGCAGCACAGATGGAAAAGAGATCTTCCATCTACTGGTTCACTCCCCAAATGCCCAGGACACTCCAGGCTGGGCCACGCTGAAAGCAAGAGCCTGGTTCTCACTCCAGATCTTCTGCATGGTGCCAGAGAGCCAAGTGCCTGGACCATCATCCGATAGCTGGAAGAGAGTAGCTGGCACTCAGCCAGGCGCTCTGATATTGGCTGTGGATGTCCTGAGTGGGGACTTAACCATTGCACCAAATGCCCGCCCACTTCCTCCTTGCCTTTTATCTTCGAGTTCAAAACTCTTGAGCAGTGGCCTCAATATTGTCTCTGTTGACTTTAAAATATAGAAAGGGAATTTCTTTTTTTTTTTTTTTTAAGATTTATTTCTTTTTATTAGAAAGACAGATTTAACAGAGATAAGGAGAGACGGAAAGATCTTTCATCTGTTGGTTTACTCCCCAAATGACTACAAAGCTAAAGGCTGAGCCTATCTGAAGCCAGGAGCTAGAAGCTTCTTCTAGACCACTACAGGGTCCCAAGGCTTTGGAATGTTCTCCACTGCTTTCGCAGGCCACAAGCAGGGAGCTGGATGGGAAGTAGAGCGGCTAGGACACGAACCAGTCTCCTTATGGGATCCCAGTGCATACAAAGCAAGGATTTAGGCATTGAGCCATTGCAATGGGCCCAGAAATGGGATTTCATAGACTAGAATGAAATATTTGCTAGACTGAAGATGTAGGGAAGGAGCAAGAGATAATAATAATAGAGAACAATTCTGTCCCTGATAGCCTAATGTCACGTAACATCCCCTCCTCGGCTCACACACTTAGGCAAGAGCTGCCTGTGCTTTCCAAAGAAATGAGGGATCTTCCTGATCTTTGCGTGCCGTCTCTTTCACTAGCTGTAATGACCCTGAGGTTTATTCGTGTTGTGCTGTCTTGGTTCCTTTTTGGAGATTGGCCAGTACTCTCATGTTAAGGATACACCCATGTTTCACTCAGCCATTCCTCAGTTGGCACGTACTTGGGTTTCTCTCTGCTTTTTATCCATTATGAAGAATAAATAGCGCTGTGAGCATTTTTGTTGTGTATATAATTGTCATTCTTTCCTAAGCCATTCACCAGAGCAACTATGTCTATATCATTTACATTGTATGTAAGTGTATGTAAGTAACCTGGAGGTGATTTAAAGCATATGACAGGGATGGGCCTGGGTAATATGCAAATATCATGCCATTTTATATAAGGGACTTCGAGTATCCATAAGTTTTTATATCACAGGGATCCTGGAGCCAATCCCCAAAGACAGCTGTGTGTTGTATGACTGACTCTTTCACCTGCCATTCAGTTGGGTTGTCTTTCCTATTTTTGACTTGTAGGAACTATTTGTTTTTCAGGTGCAAGTCTCTTATCAGGTAAACGATTTGCAATTATTTGATTTCTTCATATGGGTGATTGTCTTACTGAGAGTCTCCTTTGAAGCACAAGTTTTTCGTTTAGTTCCCCCCCCCCACCCCCGCCCCAAGATTGACTTTATTTATTTGAAAGGCAGAGAGAGAGAGAGCTTACATCCACTGATTCACTCCCCAGATGACTGAAGCATCCAGGGCTGGGTCAGGCTCAAGTCAGGAATTCCATCTGGGTCTCCCACGTTGGTGGTGGCGGCCCACGCACCCGGGTCACCTGCTGCCCTCCAGGCATACTAGCAGGGAGCTGAACTAGAAGTGGAGCAGCAAGGACTTGAAATGCTGTTCCATTGTGGGATGCTCTTACCGCAGGCATCAGCTTGACCCACTTCTCATCGCTGGTCCCAGAAGTTTTTAGTTGGGGTGAAATTCCTTGAGCTCATGTTGACTGGGTATTGGCATAGGCCAGGCCTTGTGCCTGTCACTGGAACTACACTGTGCCATCTTGTTAGCTGAACTTCAGCTTCAAGAGTTTCCGATTTCTACCAGGGTCACTCAGTGAACTTACTACGCTCTGCCCTGTGTGAAATTTCACTGCATACGCTGCTTCCTGTCAGATGGAAATGTTTGTAAACGTTGACAAATGATTGGGAGGCACTCAATCAGTGAGCTCAGCAACGACTCAGCAGGCGTTTCCGGTTGTAGGAAGGTCTTCTGGGTCTCACTTGGGCAATAATTCAGTGGCAACAAAATGGCTTTGACCCCTAAGGTTACCGGGACAGGAGTGTCAGTATCTTGACCCATAAGGTGATGGTGAAGATTTTCAGGTTTCTTTCCTCTTCCACTTACCAGAAGTTAAGTACATTTTGTTAGGAACTGAATTGTGAACCGGGAAGGTGGCAGTGTTGCAATTTTTATATATGGTATTATATATATGGTGTATATATATATATACACATAAAACCATGTAGTTAACATATAATAATGCTTAATAAAACAAATATAAAGTGCACCTATTGTGAAGCCAAGCCCATTGAGATAACTGTGTTTTTCCTCAGGTGAGCGGCACCTGCTTTCTGCAGCGTACGTGGACAGCCGCCAGTGGGAAGCAAGAGAGAAAGAAGACTGCCACCTGGGTAGGTCAATGTCGCTCCCGGGCGCACCTGCAGGTGCCGCCGCATACTCGGTGTTGGATGGATGCAGGGAGGCGTTCCCGGTGCCTCAAGCCAGAGCAGCACAGTGCAGGCCTAGGGGGCGACAGTCGCCCTCGCTGTCCTCTGTGTCTCCACCATGCACCACTGCCCTGGGAGTCTCCTGACGTCACATTAGCACTTCTTTTACTTCTTGTGTCTTGTCCATTTTTATCAGCTGGTTTTCATGCAGGCTGTATCTGTCGGAGCGCATTTTGTATTTCATACTTTCATCCCTTCTCTTCTCAGTCTCTTCGTTGTCTTCAGGCCCCCTGCGGTCCTCGGGGTTTGTTTTGATTCGTCTGGTTCATCACCAGGTGATAGGTTAGGAAGCACAGTCTGAGCCCTCCTGTAAGCCGTGCAGGGTTAACATCTTTGGTTAGCGTCTTTCCAGCTGCTGAGCTGTTGCTTGTACCTCCTTTTCCCCATTGCCTGTGTCCTATTTTACAGGAAGAAGCATCTCTCTTTCAAAGTTGCCTAGGCCTGAAAGGCATCACTGACCGTCTGAACGCTTCCTCCTGACCTTTCTCACACAGGCCATCATCCAGCTGTTGCCGAGCCGCACAGATCGGTGCCTGCTTTAGGAGACTCGTGTGGTTTTCCGTTGACTTCAGTGCAGCTCTCGCATTTGTCCAGCAGTTGTTTCGTTGAGCTTAAGTCAGGGAAGACCTGCGATTCCTCTGGCTAGTGGGTTCTCGTGAAGCAGAGCACATGCGTAGCATGCAGCCGTCATTGGCAGCGGCCTGCTGGAGCTCTCAAAAGAAATCGTCATTTTCTCCCCTGACAGTGCAGCTGTGCGAGCAGCTTTGGCCGTGAGCTCTGGACCGGTGTGGACAGAGGTCTGGTGGATCTGAAGATGCTCTGAGGGACCTTGTGGTCTGATCCTTGCCATGAGAGCCTCAGCACAGCCTTTTTCTAGCAAAGACTTGGTCATGCGCTCCCTTTGTCACCCTGAAATTCAACTCACAGTTCATATCGTGTAACTGCACATAATACTATCCAGTCCGCTTGCGTTTCTGTGCATGCTGGCCGTTGGCCACCTCTGCGAATTTATTTCCCTTGAGTAAATTTGTATTGGCTGTAAGAAAAAGAAAGCTATGCAGCTTCCTTACCATGACACAAAGCAGAAACAAAAGGGAAGCATCTCGCAATGAATAATATAGATTTCAATATTTAAATAGATGGCTTAGAAAAAACCACATGGAAAGGCACAACAAGATGGCTGGGTGCCTAGTGTCTGCTGAAATGTGGAATCGCCATCAGCGTTGACGATGGAAATGTGGATGGGACAGATGTGGTACCTGAATACCAGGACTGTCACAGTCATAACAACACCTTGGGATTACAGAAATGAATAGTGCATGCTTCCAACGGATTCAGGGCTTTCTGCTTTTTTTTTTTTTTTTCTTTTTTTTTTTTAGTAGAGTGAATGCAATGTCACAGATGGTATAGTATGTAATTCACATCTTTGTTTTTATTTTAAGTCATTTGAAACTTCTAAAATATCACAGAGCTCTTCTCTGTCCTTTCCCTGCGTTCACCTCGTGTTCCATTGTGAGCCTTGGTTTTGCGTTTTCTCATATTCTCTTCACACACGCACACGTACACTTGTATGTGTACTTTATAGTAACCACTTGCTTGTTGCATATATAATAGATTGTTACTCTGAGTAAATCGGAGCTTGTTACCTAATGTACTGAGATTCTCCTGTGTAACTTAAGCGAATTCGTTGATGTAGTACTTTAGAATTAATTACCTTTTTTGCCAGTTGACCCAAGAATGTCTTAAAACATTTTTCCTTCTCCAATACAAGATTCAATTTAGTATCAGACAGTGCATTTGGTTGTCATGACTACTGTGAGCTATAGTTGTTCCATCACTGGGCTCCCCAGTTCTTGTACACATCTAAGTTCATGGTGGTGGCAGGGCGGGGGCCTAGTGGAAAGTCCGTGGGTCCATGGTGGTGTGTCATTGGAAGGTAGTTCTCCAAGAGGGTTGGTGTGTAAGCCCGAGCCGGGCCTGGCCTCTCCCTGTGTGCCTTCTGACTCACCACGTGGCCCTTCTTGGCACACTCCGCCATCGTCATCCTCTAGCCGCACTAGATGGACCAGCTGATGAGCTCGCCCCGGTCGTGCACTGTGACCCTCCAAATCATAAACCAAAATAAACCACATTAGTTGTGGTAATGATAAACTAATAAAGCTATCCTTATTTGTCATTTCTTAATGACATTGTCATTTTTTTTTTCTAGAATCCATTCTCTTTTTTTCCCTTAACTTTGAGAGGCAGAGAGAGAGGAAGAGAGATCTGTCAGCCATTTGTTGACTGCCCAGATGCCTACAGCCGCCAGGACGGGGCCAGGTGGAAGCTGGGTGGCCGGGGCCTAGCTGTGTCTCCCAGAGCCCACGTTAGCAGGACCTGCGAGTCCAGAGGCAGGCTTCGAACCCAAGCCCTCGTGACTTGGGATGTGGTGTGTCTAACTGCCGGACTAACTGCCTACCTTCCCTGCTCCTCTGTCTCTTTTCATAAGAGAAGATTCCTCTTTCTGGGTTTGTCTGTTGTTTGCCATGATCCCAGGGAATCTATGCTTCTCCATCTGGAATTCCCAGAGAACTCTCGGGCACCTCGTGTTCCCATCAGAGCAGCCACCTTCGCCAATGACTTTGCCATGGATCCCCCAGTCAAATGTGTCTGACTTTTTTCCCTCTGTGGAATTATGGGTTTTCTCCTCTCTGACTCAGGGCCTGTCTGGGGGAGATGCTGTAATGCAGACATCTTGCTTTTCATCAGAAGTCTCCTTAGCTTTATGATCCATTCGTCCTATTACCTGAATCCATTTTGCTGCCATAGTTAGCAAAAGAATACCTTCCCCCCAGATCTTGGTTTCTAAGGCCATTTCACACTGACACTACTGTGGCGTTTGTGCTTCCTGGCCCGTGGAGTGGACAGAGCTGCAAACACGTACACATATTCAGGGAGGGTGTGGTTAAGACACCCACCCCCAACACTGGAGTGCAGGGATTCAGTCTCCGACCCTGGCTGCCGACCCCAGCTTCCTCCGGGGAACAGTAGGGATGGCTCCGGTTAGGTCTCAGCCACCCACAGGGGAGGCCTGGATTTTTTCCACTCTGGCTCTGGCCCAGCCCCAGCGGCTGAGGGCATCTGGAAACTGAACCAATGGATGGAAGCTCCTGCTCTGTCCTAGAGAAACACAAAGCCCTATGTAAATACACATGAATGCATCTCTCTCAGAAATCAAGAGCTCATGCCAGCCTGAATGCCCACAGTTCTTCCTTGCCCTGCCATAATCCATTTCCGGCCCCCGATGGTAACAGACATTCGGCTGTGTGGGACAGCCCCACACACTGTGGGTCACCCAGCTTCCCTGTCTGCCACTCCTGCCGGAGGCCAGGAAGGCCTGTATCGCTCCTTGGGGGACCGCCCTTCTAACCGTGATCCCAACACGGACTCCGAGGATCATCCCTCTGTATACAGCAGACTTGTTCTGATGTGCCATGGATGGTTCCAGAGGAGGGTGCTGTTAGCACTCTGCACAGATGAGGAGGCCACCTAGGTGTCCTGGGGTTCGATAGAGTCGCACAGTCCCCAGAGGGATTTGGCACGGGCGCCTGAGAAAGCAGAAGCACCTGATGGTTGTTCAGGGACCTGCACTGGGTTAGTCAGTGATACGTGGAGATGGGTGGCTCCTTGGCAGTCAGGCTGGTGTACTTGCAAAAGCTGTCACCATGGATGTGGGGCCCTCTGCCCAGAGTAGGCGCCCAGTGTCCTGCGCCCCGCCCCCAGCACATTCCCCGTGCAAGTGGGATGTGAAGGGCCAATGTGGCACCAGGGGACGCAGAGCTGGGTCCCAGCCGCGTGTCTGCAGCTCTCTGCTGTCACTTGCATGCAGTGCCTGCTGTGTAGCAGGTCTGAAAACCCTGGGTGAAATACAGGGTGAAACAGGGTGAAATACAGTTTCTTAAAAATTTTTTTAATTTCCAAGGCAAAGTGAGGAGAGCGCTCCCTTTCGTCTGTTGGTGCACACACCCTCACAGCAGCCGTCCCGCACTTGAAAGCTGGATGGCAGCGACCCCAGAACTTGAGCTTCCACGGTGTGCCTTAGCAGAGCGTGGTGTGGGCGTTCCCAGCAGCCACTCGGAATTTCACTGCCTCTGGGTTTCCTGTCTCCCACTGCTTTTGGAGAAGTTGCCTCTTCCTGCTGTCCTTGTTCACGCTCCTCTTTGGGGAGCGCGCCTGGCGCACGCAGTACCGGCGGCGGGCAGTAGGTGGCAGCATGGGCGCGGACGCGCCGCCGCGGTGAGGGCGCGGGAACGTGTGCGCGCCTCATGTGGTGGAGCCCGCTGATTGGGCGCCGCGAGCCGGAGGGCCGTGAGGCGCTCGGAGCGAGCCTGCTGATTGGCGGGGCCGGGAGGGCCGATATGAGGCAGCGGCTGGTCGAGTCCCCATTGGGTAGCGCGGCGGCGGGGGCGGGGCCGTGGGCCGGCGTGGCCTCCTTCCGGCGGGCTGAGGTCCCTGGCTCCCGGGCGTGTTAGGGGGAGCGAGCGGTGGCCTGGAGCACTTAGCAGAATCGCGTGTTCGTGGTTCGGTTGGAACAGGATCCACATAGGTTCCGCCGGGGCTGCCCACTTGCTCTGCCTCTTTCCAGCTCTTGCCTGAAAGGTCTTTGTAGAAACAGGCAGAGGTTTGGGGGTGGGGGGATAACCCCGTGTGCCCCCAGGGTCCGCAGCCATCGCTTCCTGCCAAAGTCCTTCCTCCTCCCTCCGCCTCAGCAAATCCCATTGCACGGGTCACTCAGCTAAAGGAAGGGACTGCACAGGCATGGCTTTGTAATGCGCTTACCCCCTCTCAGGAGACAGTCAGAAGATGTCACTTCTGGCCAACCCCCTCCATCTAATTCTGACCCAGAAGTCTAAATGAGCTTTTCACTAAGTTTTATTTATTATGTATTTATTTGCTTATTGCACTTTCACTTCAGTTGAAAAACAGTCACAGAGAGAAGTCCCCTCCATTTGCCCTCTCCCTCAAAAGCCTGCACCAGCTAGGGCTGGGTCAGATCAGAGTCCCAGAACCCAGTGTGGGTATCCCACGTGGAAGGCAGCCATCCACAGCCGCCTCCTGCAAAGCTGAAGTTCAGGAGCAGGACTCCAGCCGGGAACTCTGCGCCAGTGGGAGTCAATCTTTTTTTTTTTTTTTTATCAGTTTGTTCTCTTTTCTCAACCAGCCAATAGATTTTTATGTACAATGAAATCCAAAATATGTTCTAGGACCTCCAGATGCCTACATAAACTATCTCTTAATTCTAAAAGTAAACCTCATGAAAGCAAGGGATGAATGCACTGACAGCTTCCCTCCCCAGGACAAAGCAGACAGCGAGTAGCTAGGGAAAGGAATGAGAAAGGAAGTGATGGATGTACGAGATTTTGTTGTTGTAACTCCCTGGTGGGAGAAATCGCTGTCAAGCTCTAAGGAGACCCTGAGGTAATCAGGAAGTACTGGCGGAAGCCGGAGCCGTTGCCCTTAACCACGGTTCCTCCTCCTCCCCCAGGTGGAGGTGACCTCACTGAGCGCTAGGGAAAAACTACTTCACAGAATCTGTAAAACTTGTACTATGCATAAATAGTTCTTCTTACGCCTCTCTTCATGTGATACAAGCTAAGTGACGGAGGAGAATGCTGTTGCCAAACCCGCTTGTTCAGAGGCCGGCTGTCAGGCAGCGCTCTCATGGTATCATGGTTTCACGGCGGAGGCTCTCGCGCCCAGCTGACAGCAACAGAAGGAGCTGCCTCCATTCCTCAAGCAAAAGAGGCATCGCCTCAGTGCAGAAGACTTCCAGGCCCTGTTTCCTTGTGGGTTGCAAATCCTGCTCCACATGTAAGGAAACGGAGGACTGAGTGAGCCCCACTCACCATGTTGGTTTCCCACATCAATGCATTTCCAGCCAAGTGAAATCAACCTGGGGTCCCCAGAGAGGCAACAGCTGCAGAGCAGCCACAGATGAAGAATATTCGTAGGTTGCCAGTGAGAGAAAGCTCGGGTGCGCAACGCACTGTGCCACCGGTCACCTGACATCTCAGCATGGGCGTGATGGATGAAGCAGAAAACAGCAGCGAGCGGGATGACCAGGGGGGCTGGCCGGCTGCGGCCTGCAGGAAGCCAGCACCACAGGCTCCTGGAGCCACGGCTCCCTCACGCACAGCCGCACTGCGTGTTCCAGAAAGACGTCCACAGATGCCCAGGTTCTGTTCAGAGGAATGTGCCAAAGAAAATGCCCGGTTCCTAGGGAACACACAACATCTGAAGGCTGACAGCAAGGACAGCTTGGGAAGATGGATGTGGAGTTGGCACTCATGACTCAACCAAAGGCCAAGACAGCAGGGACCGTGCCAGGAATGGGCGTGAGCACCCACACCAGGGCTTCAGAACTTCAGATTCCCAGGCCTGACTGCCACACGGAGACCTCAATTGTGTAGGTTGAGATAAACCAGGGGCACATTGGTGCTGCTTGAGGACCCCCAGGAGGGAGGGCAAAGGCAGTCTGGGCTGGGGGCTCCTCACCTCAAGAAAGACCTTAGACAGGAATTGCCTGTGCCTCGGATGCGTTACCCATCCCTTAAAAAGCTCCTCCAACCAAGGATGGCCCAAAGCTGTGGGAGACCTGGAAGAAGCTCCTGGCTCCTGGCTTTGGATTGGCTCAGCTCTGGCTGTGGCAGCTATATGGCGAATGAACAAATGGATGGAAAGATCTTTCTCTCTGACTCTTCTCTCTGCAAATTTGCGTTTCCAATAGAAGCAAATATATGTTTTTTTTAAAAAAAAATGGCGAAACCAAAAAACTTCTCTGACTACAAAAATAAAACACCCAAATAAAGGGTTCCAACACTTTCCTCTGCCAAAGTCAATTAGGCAGTCAGAACTGTTCGTGGCCAGACCTGGCAGATTTGAAGGGGTGCCCAGGGCGGGAGCTAAGAGTATAGGAACAGTTGAATCGGAGAGGGTTCAGAAAGCAGGAGAAATAGCCGTGGGAACTCTGAGAACAAAGCAGAGTTTGCTGTTTAACGCCGTTTGTCCTCTCCAACAGCATCGGAGGCAAATGCACGGGCAGAGATGCCCTGGGTCCGCCAGCTTGATGCTTGACTGGACAGTGGGAGTGAGGTGGATTGGAAACCTGGGAGGCAATGACATGATGGGAAATAAATATTTAGGAAAGTATATTTCCTAAGGGTTTCAGATCTTTGTCTACTGTAGAAACATAACCTCAGAAAAAAACCAGCGATTCCTGCGGTGTCCTGCTGAAAGCTTGCATTCAGGCCAAAAGTCAGTAAGGCAGGGGTGCTTCTCTGGTTTGCTGGATTTCAGGTGCTGCACAGCTGAGCCGTTAGATGTATTCTTTTATTCTCTGTGGCTTATATAAAGTGAGTTTCTGAAAAAGAGCAAGAAAGAGCATCTGTTTGAAATGTTGACTCTGTGATGTGGCAGCCATCTGGCAGGAGCCCTTCACCGTCTGAGATTTTCCTTCAGACTCGCGTGTATTTAACAAGGTCCCTTCCCCTTTGTCTTCACAGCTGATCTCGCATCTTTGATGGATAAAACGTACGAGAGGAAGTTGCCAGTGAGCTCTTTAACAATATCCCGGGTAAGAACCTTCAGGCAGAGCTCGAGGGGGCACTTTCTGCAGATGATGCTGAGTAAATAAAGAATGTGCGTCTTAAGTGGCATTTTTCCGGAGTAGGCCATGTTTTTGTCACCTCCTCGTGGACATTCTGTGATGCAGCGGGAGATTTCTTTGGCCAAAATAAGAGGTCATGAACTTGCCCGACTTCAGTGTTAGTGGTCCTGGGATCGGAGCTGCTGTACACCTGATCTTTCACTTTTCTAGGAAATAACACTCTGCTGTGTATAATACTGTGATTTTTTGGGAGTACAACTCCTCAAAGTAGTATTTACTTGATAGTATTGCTACTGGTTTTTGTATTTCAGCAACTACAGAAAAGTGGATATTAGTTTTTAAGATTCATTTTTTTATTGGAAAGGCAGATATACAGAGAGGAGGAGAGACAAAAATCTTCTGCCTGACCATTCACTTCCCAAATGGTCGCAACGGCCAGAGCTGAGCCAGTCCGAAGCTAGGAGCTGCTTCCGGGTCTCCCTCGCAGGTGCAGGGTCCCAAGGCTTTGGGCCATCCTTGATTGCTTTCCCAGGCAACAAGCAGGGAGCTGGATGGGAAGTGGAGCTGCTGGGATTAGAACCAGCACCTGTATGAATCCCAGCAGATGCAAGGCGAAGACTTAGCCACTAGGCTGCCGTGCCAGGCAGTGCGGGAGAGGAATAGGGAGTCATAGTAACCATTACCAAATACTTTGTAAGCCAGTTTTCACATGGCTTCATTTTTAAACTTTATTAGAAAAGCGGAGAGAAAGAGACACGTTTTCCATCTGCTGACTGACTCCCCGTATGTCTGCAACAGCCAGGGCTGGTGCAGGCCAAGCCAGTGACAGATCCGAGCACCTGAGCCATCGTCTGCGTGCCAGGGTGCTCACTGGCAGGAAGTGAGCAGAGCAGGCCTGGTACCCAGGCGTTCTGCTGTGGGGTACAAGCGTGCCAAGCGGCGTTCTCCACCCCTAGACCAGGCATGTCACAGTTTTTGCAAATGATATTCCTGTTCATTCTCAGAGCAGCCATAGGAGGCAAGCATCATTGCATTTTACATATATGTTGTGGAGTGATATATTCCCTTGCCCAAGTTCACGCAGCTTATACATTGAAAGGCTGGAATTGAGACCCTGCTGTTTCTGGCCATCACGGTTCTCTTCTGAGGCAGGCATTTCTCCTGTCAGTGGGCCGGGTTCAAGTCCCGGCTGCTCGTCTCATTCCTGTGTCCTGGTAGCCTCATCCTGGCAGGCAGTTGGCCTCAGGTCCTTGAATCCATGCTACCCACGTGAGGAACTCGGCTTGAGTTGCAAGCTCCCGCTGTGTAACACCTAGCCTAGACCTGGCTGCTTCGGACATTCGTGGGAGGAGCTAGTGGATGCAGAATTTCTCTCTGCATCTCTGCCTTTCAAATAAAACTTAAAAGGTAGTTCCCTCGCCTCCCTCAGATGTCGCTGAGTCCTGTCCCTTGTCACGAGTTCACTCTGGTTCTGGCAGCGGGCCCTGTCCGTTTGCTCATGGCCACAGTGAGATCAGCCTCTCCGGGATGGCGTGCTGCCCCAGTGCCGTCTGAGTTGGGAAAACTCTTGTAGCAATACATGGCACATGAATAAATACGCAGGGTGTTGGGGTGGCAGGTGGACAGGGAAGAAATGAGCTTTCTTATTCATCCTGGTCCTTCGTTTCTGGCTGCTGAGATGCTTTCTAGTCGGGAACAGTTTAAGCTGTCGTAGCTCTAGATTCGTAGACTCAGAGCCGATGTGTTAAAGGAGAAGGGCCCCAGTTCACGTCTGTGCCGTGACATGCGCAGTGCCTGTTCAGGCGGGGCAGGAGGGCGAACGTGCTTCCCCAGGGACGTTTTGTGCTCAGAGCCTCTAACTCCAGAGCGGAGGCCTCTTTCTCTTGCCTGTGCAGATGGAGCTGCTCGGTCCCAGAGGGACTGTGCCATCTGGTTATGCCACACAGCAAGCTCTCCAGAGCACTGGATCTCTCCACAGATCCTCTGCCTGAACCATATTCTAGCTGCCCTGGAGGGGATTTCTGGGCCCATCCACAGCAGCCTGGGCCTTTTAGAAGCTTTCGCTGCTTTTGACATACCCTCTTTCATGGGCTTTTAATTATACTCACCACATGCCTCAGCCTCTACTCTGCCTTATTTTTCCCCCATCTGAATCTCTAGGGCAGAATAATAAACCTGTTTATTTCACTTTTGTTTAAGGAACACGGGGCTTCTGTGCGTCTAGTGGGGATTTTGCTGGTAGAGGCATCAGGTGGACCAGCCCAAAGCAAATGCGGAATCAGAATAGGAAAACAGGTTGCAAGCTGAGTTATCCGATTACAGACTTTCACGTTCTAGGCTTTAGTTTTTTCAGCCACTAACGTCTTTGTCTGTCCAGCCATGTGCCCCCTGTGTGCTGGGAGCTCAGGACCTCGCGAGTCCTCAGGGTGCTGGCTGCAGGTGGCAAGAGGAGCGCTCCCCTCCTCGCTCTGAGCGAGGTTCATGCTTGACCCGGAAGCAGTTTTTGACTCAAGGCTGTGCTACACATGGGAGAAGCAAAGCCACCATGTATTCGGTTTTTCTAGCGTCAGGGCGTTTCCAGCATGGAACCCGGTCACGTGACCGCTGCTCCATTCAGCCTTGGCGTTGTATCAGTGAAGTGCACGCTCTTTATTTATTAAAGTCAGTGTGGGTCTAGGCCAGGTTTGTGGCATGCTTTTTATTCAACCGGGGCTTTCTTTTCCTGTCTTGTAGTTTGTGGACAACATTTCCTCCCGAGAAGAGGTGGACCACGCGGAGTATTACCTGTACAAGTAAGCTTTCCCTGTGACTTGGCCTACTGCTGGGCGATTTCACACCCTCCTTTTAGCCTAAAACATGATATAATGCATAGTAACACATCCCTTGCTTCTATGTTCTTATTGTAGAGATTTTCCCGTATTGGTAAATACAGCGCCTACTCGTTTTTAACTCTAACAAACATTGTACTACTGTGAAATTCGTATTGAATCAGTTCCCTGTTGGAAGGAACTTTCAGTTGCACTCTCTCATTAATATGCAGTGTCGTAATTCATAATCCTGTGCATGTGCAGTTCTGCACATCATTCTCACGAGTATATGCATTTTTAATTCTTTAATTTATTCGCTTACTTGAGAGACAGAGATGGGCAGAGCTGTCATCTGCTGGCTTGCTCCGCAAAGACCTGCAACAGCCAGGCCCGAGATGGGAGCCAGGAACTGAGTGCAGGTTTCCCACCCCTGTTGCAGAGACCCAAGCCCTGGAGCCATTATCGGCTACCTCCTAGGGTACGTATCATCAAACAGCTGGATTTGAGATTGCAGCCAGGCCTTGAACCCAGGCACTCCAGTTCAAGATGCAGGCTGATTCTCAAGGCTTCCCCACTAGATCTAATGCCTGCCCCATATACTTTTATTTTAATATTAACAAAAAAAGAAAAAGCAGAATGATATAGAAGGAGAAACAGAGATCTTTCACTTGTTGGCCTGTCCTTCAAATGGCCACAGTGGCCTGGGTGGGGTCAGGCTGAAGCCAGCAGCCTGCAACTGTGTTTGGGGCTCCACCCCAGTCTCCTCCGTGGGTGACAGGGCCCCACGCTCCTGGGCTGTTCTTTGCTCGTATCCCAGGCCCGTGAGAGTGGAGCTGGATTAGAAGTGGAACAGCCAGGTCTTGGACTGGTGCGCACACAGACTGCCGGTATTATAGGTAGTGTGTTCGTATGTTACTCCATTAGACTCTTGTCCCCACACCCTGTGAACTTTGCTCGCTCTAGCCAGTTGCTTTCCATTGAGGTTTCTCAGTGTACCAGAGAGGCCTGCTTTTACATCTTGGATGGTATTTTCACATGAAACATTCTCCTTTATGTACACAGGTGAAGTAAGTATGCCTGGTCTGAAACAGCTGGGAACAGAAGAGTCTTGGGTTTTTGAGTTTGGGATTTGGGAATATTTGAGTAAACTTGATAGGTTGAACACTCTTAACCTGACCATTTGGATTCAGGAAGGTCCCGTGATGGCAGTACTCAGCGTCAGATCTGGTAGAGCATTTAGGATTTGTGACTTGTGATTTAAAGGTGCTCAGTCTGGGTCTGTATGTTCTATACAGATGGTGACACGTTACACAAACTGACATCTATTCCCAATTAACACTAGATATAAAAATATCTTCTGCATTGTTGCTTTCAGTCTTTTTTCTTTCTCACAGCTGTGACGATTGCATTTTAAGCTGCAGGTATAATTACCCATGTGTATAAAGATATATCTATAGTAGAGCGTTGTCCTTAGTAGGAAAACTCTGTGACACCTGACGCTCATTGCATCAAGGACTCCTTTTTCAGTTTCCCTATCATGTACTGACGAGATTGTGTGACTGCTTTTCATTATGATTCCTGTTTAGAGCTGGCGCCCACATGGGATCCCGGCGCGTTCAAGGCAAGGACTTCAGCCTCTGCGCCGGGCCCTGCGTTTCAGTTCTAAATAGAAATTATATCTCCCAATTTGAATGTGTAAAACAAAGTGCCATTGCATTTGAAGAAATTCTGTGACGTGTTGTTGATTTCAGCAATTCAGTAAGTATTTCGGAACACCTGTTAGGTGGATCCTGCCCGAGGTGCCGGGGTGTAATGAAGAATTAGGTTATGCACTCCTTGTCTCACAGAGCGTACCAAGTCCTGCCCGCAGGATCTGCAACGAGCACTTCTTAAATGGTGTCAGCTTTTGTGTTGCCTGGAATGCTTCTGAAAGCTCAGTAGAATGGCTCTTTCCTGGTGCTGCATAGTCATACAGAGGACTGTTGCCCATCGTGTGTCTAGACTGGTGCTTGGTTTCACACCCCGTCCTTTGCTTTAATTAGACCTAATGTTCTAGCTAGGACTTACCAATCTTGGTTCTTCCCTCCCAGTACCAAGAAACACCTGCATTTGTTTTTCTCAGCTTACAGTTTGCTTTTAAAAAAAGTAGCTGTCTGTCTGACTTCCTTGTGTCCTTGTTGTGAATGTATGAAATGGAAATATACAAAGCTCTGGCTAGATGTTCGTGACGGAGATTGGTTAGATTGCCAAGTGTCTCACTACTACTTTCAAACATCAAAATACCCAAAGCATTTCTGGGCCTCAGTAGATGCACGACTTGGACGTTATGAGTTCCTGGAATTCCTCTCAAGGAAGTGAAGTCGGGCTGGTTTATCCTGTAGATGCCAAGAGCCCACATCTCCGCAGTACAACCTGCAGTTGAGATCTCTGATGGCTGCCATGCCTGATTGGGATGCGTAGGGTTGAGGAAATGTAAAGACAGCTTTTGAATCCTAGAGGACTCATAGCTCACTGACCTTGCTTCAGGATTTCTCTTGCCCCTGGGCAGTTTGTTTGTAGGAGCAAAGCGAGTGCTAGGATGTATGCCAGGCTTCTCTTGGCCTTCCCACAGCCTGTGGGTGCCAGGCTCCGCTGGCACGTCAGAGCTGCCACATCTCCCCAGCTCTTGTGTGAGGGCCACTGGAGCCAAAGCAGTTTGGAAACCTGGAATGATGGAGAGCTGATGGAGTGCCTGCCATTGTGTCAGGTGTGCCAGTGAACCATTCCAAGTTCCAGTGGTTCCTGGTGCCCTTGTTACCGCCCACACACCCCACAAGACAACTGGAACCTTGGAGGCCTGAGAAGCACGCGGGCTGCAGAGTTTGAGGTCATGAGCAGTAGAGGGTCCCGGGATAGAAAGGCTGATACTGAGACATCAGTGGGGAGGGTAAAGATGAAACATTCTTACGTAGGCCGACAGCAGACACATGGACCCAAGATGACTAGAACGTGCCACCAAGACCAACAAACAAACTGACACTATTCTGTACATGTAACAGGGAAACAAACCAAGAGGGCAAGTGATCGAAACGACGAGAAGGTCAAAACAGTGAAATGAAATGGGAAGGCTAAGAAGAGAAGGCACATGAAGAGCTGGTGGGCTGTGATGGAGAAGGAAGCACAGCTGGAACAAGACCGTAGGAGGCAGGAACAGCTTGTCTATAGAGAAAGAAAACACAGCTGGAGCAAGACCGTAGGGGGCAGGAACGACTCGTCCAGTTGAGACTGCAGGGTTGGGGTCAGCTCAGCCGACTGAACCACGCACTGCTTCTCACCTTGTCTTCTGAGCAGCCGCGGAGCTGGACGCTGGTTGAGGCCACAGGGGCAAAGGTGGGCACTAAGGCACCTGCGAGGAGAGGCAGGCCTGTGTTGCCAGACAACCTTTGCTGCACTTTTGCCAAGAAAGCTGTGTCTTTAACAGCTTTGTGTCCCGGGCTATGGAGAGAAAAGGAAGAGAAGCCTGCAAATCTGGATAAAGCTGTTTTTTGCTAACCTTGCTGTAAAATTTAGCGTTTCCTTCAATTCTGAGCATAGGCAATAGAGGGCCTTACCATCCACAGCAGCTGTTTCTTTCTCACCAACAAACAGCACTGATTTGCTGTAGCAGCTAAATGGACGCTCCGTGTTCATCACTGTGTAGAAATCCTGGTAGTGGTGAAACCCTGGCAAGGTCGTTCCGTTTCTGGCAAGGTCGTTCCGTTCCTGGCAAGGTTGTTCCGTTTCTGGCAAGGTCATTCCATTTCGTGCATTAGCCGCTCAGCTGTTTCCATAGCGCAAGGATTTCTTCCCATCTTGATAACTGCATTTCAGGGTCATTGGTATCTGTGTGAGAAAGCCATCTTTATGCCCTTATTATTGTTTTGTTGCTGTAATATAGTAACATATCTATGTTTTTTAACTTTGTATTTTCTTTTTAATATTATTTACATAGTTGAGAGGGGTGCATGCTCATGTGGGCCTCTGACTCAGATAAGGTGGGTCAGGTAGGGAAGAAGGTGGGTGGGACATATATTTCATTTTTTCCCCTTTTTTTCTCCTGCGTCTGCAGAGGAGACGAGGGAGCTCTTTGCTGTCAAACTCCATCAGCACCCAGGGGTGCGGGGTGGCCGCCGTTGCGGAGGAGTGTTCCAAGGGTGTTACTTGAGTGGTTTTAAAGATTTATTTTTTATTATTATTATTTTTATTTTTATTGGAAAGGCAGATATACAGAGAGGAAGATCTTCCGTCCGATGATTCACTTCCCAAGTGAGCGCAACGGCCTATGCTAAGCCGATCCGAAACCAGGAGCCTCTTCCAGGTCTCCCACGCGGGTGCAGGGTCCCAAAGCTTTGGGCCGTCCTCAACTGCTTTCCTGGGCCACAGGCAGGGAGCTGGAAGGGAAGCGGGGCTGCCGGGATTAGAACCGGCGCCCATATGGGATCCCGGGCGTGCAAGGCGAGGACTTAACCACTTGCGCCACTGCGCCGGGCCCGACTTGAGTGGTTTTAATGGTTCTGAGAGATTGTTGGTTTCATTGCTCCAGGCTTGAGAACATCTTTCCAAGGTCTGTTGGCTGACCAAGTCCACCTTAGTGTATCCACAGACCCAGGAACATGCTGCAAAGCTTGGCCGGGAGAATGGTCCAACCTGTTCTGCTTTGCCTCCCTGATGAGGCAGCTGACGTCCCCTGCTGGCCTGGATGAGCTGGCCATCATGTCCCCTGTGTGCATCTGGACGTGCTGTCCACTGCACAGGCATCAGCAAGTGAGGCGGCCCAGTCAACACAAGCACTCCAAGGTCAGACAGCATGTCTTTTGGATTTTTCCCTGTGGTCAGGGTCTGAGTCCAGTAGTCCAGCTGCGGAGTTCCTCAAGGAACCCTACCTGGGATGACCTCAGACTTGACTTGTGTGTACCAGCCAATGCACGTTCAAGTGCGGTCTGTCCCCTGCAGTAGCCAGTGCACAT